CTTTCTTTCTTCCGTTAGACTAAATAATAATGCGAATCATTTTTAGTTTGATATCAAATATATGTGACCGAATTTTCGAATTTTCCTCTGAGTATTTGAGTATATTCTGAGTATATTCTTTTGACTGTCTTTATTGAAATAAGACCATGTCGCAGATTGAGAAACACCAATATCATCATAGTTATTTAAAGAGTGTTTTCTGTGACATAAGTAGGTATATTTGCAGCGACTAAAAGATAACAAATTCAAGATTTAATATTTGACAAGTAACCGACAAGCGTTTATAATTATTTTACTGTAAATCTTATCCACAGAATATTTGCAACTTATTTTATGCAATTAGGTTCTATTCAGTTCGTAAGATATAATGCTTGGGACATTATTAGTAAAAAGAATATTTTTATGAAGCTCAGATTGAGAAAAAAATGATTGCAAAATAAGAAAATATTATACAATTCTTAAAGTGACAGTAGTTATCTAGTGTATGTACATTAAAATGATCTTTTTTTAAGTAAGAAACGCTAAGTTTTACTAAAAGCTTACTTGTTGACATCATCTCATGAAGTGGATTTCACTGAAAAAAAAAACATGTATCCATGTAAAGTGGCATATATATTCTCAATCAATAAGCTTATAACTAAGAAACATGTATTATAAATGAGAATTTCAAAAACCAGCTTCTTTAAAATAAGAAATTATAGTTACTACATTTAACTTTGTAGCTCTTCTTCTGCTTTTACTATCTTAACTTTAAAGTTTCATGCGTAATTTTACTCATTGTCTCGTCGCTAATTATGTTACTTAATTATCTTAATATACATTTCAATGAACTAGTAGCTCAAATAATTTGTATGCTATCAGTATAATAGTAACAGTAAATTTCCAAAGCGAACCTCATCAGTAAAATTCTGCAAAAATCTCTTTTGAACTTCATACAGCCTAAACATAAAATATTTCCTTCTAACTAAACACTATTTAACCAATGATACATGAATCGTAATTTCTTTATATATTATTGTTTTTAGACAAATTGAAGAATTGAAAGCAACATTAGAATGTGAACGTATCTACAGAGAGAAACTGGAGTCACGTTTAGATGAGTCAAAACGTGAAATTGCAACACTAACCATACAACTAAATGAAAGTCATTCAACCCCTTCTGATAATTACGTACGTTGATGATGGTATTTTGAATTATTTCTTATTGTTTTAATTAATAAGCCGATATATATCATAATATCTTATTGATCATCAGTATATTAAGGATAAAAATTGTCATTTAAAGACTAAATATTACAAATTTAGTTTATGCATGAAAACGATTAGGTTAGCAGAATATTAGATTATAGATTCAAAAATATTTTTATATTTTTCGACAAGTTAATTCACTTATTTATTGTGCAAAGTGTCTTGATTGAGGAAATACTAATTGGTGAATTTTCTTTGATACTTACTTATTACATAATTTGCTTTTTGAATATAACTTGGAGTCCTGAAGTAGAAATAACAATTGAGAGACTTATTCTATCGGTATAATAAAACAGAAGCCTACAATTAACATTAAATGATAACATTAGAAATAGCAATTAAAGCGTCGTCTACATTGTATATAATAACCGAAAGAAAATAAAATTGGCAATAACTGTGTAAATTTGTATATTTGAAGCATTGCTGCCTCATAAAAACTACACAAAATAACGAACTGAAATTTACATTTATTTAAATGAAGAAATCAATATCGGATGTAGCGTATATGTAGACATGGAAAATAAACAAATTGAATCAAACCATGTACATCATTCCCTTTAACTAACCATACGGATGTTAATTACTTCTTCAAAACGTCTAAAAATACTGACTAAGTGGAAAAAGCATATTGATTGGATTAAGTAATACATTACAAAAAAACTTTAATCTTTAATATGTGAAGTGTTTAAGCGAAACAGATATTGTACTCCATATTTTGTATCACATAATGAATTAGGAATCAATCAAAAGTTGAATAATTTAGTCTTAATTAAAATATTTATTGGAAAAAAGGTTTTCATTTCACAAATTATCTTTTTTGTTTATTCTTCTTTGTTTTTTTTACAGCTTATTAATAAATCAAAAGTTCATCACCATTTAGATCATCAAAATACCAAGAAAATGCGTAAAGTCAACGGAAATACAAGTAGTGTTGAAAGTAGTAGTGTATGCTGTATTAATAAACATAAGAACAGATGACAATTTTATTAAAGTAAAACAAGTTAATTATTTATTAGGATGAAATAAAAAGTTTCCTTAAATTGATCATTGTTAAGAAAATAAAATATTAAACAAGTCCTTTTTGTCTATATTACTTAAATATTTTTTACGATTGTAAACAGAGTATTTTATTGTAAACTTGAGTTAATTTAAATAAAATTACTAAATAATACCTTTTAAGTATGATTCTGTGAAAATATATTATTTTTCAGAAATACTTTTCTTTTAGTTAACCGATTATATATATAGGAAAGACTAAAATAAATCAGTAATGAAGATTATTTATTCATATATTTTAAAATTAATGTCTTCAGTTCCCATTATGGTAAATGCAAATCACGTAACGAGGATTAAATAAAGAATTTTCTAGCTTGAATATGACTTAATTGAAATTCTTTAATGGTATTCATAAAAATGAGTATCAATTATCTAAGAATGTAACTGTCATCAGTCTATTACATTTAAGAATACAGCCTCAATACTAACCATTATAAATATATGTTTATCATCTCATCTATTCAATTTAAGTATAAATATGTACAAATAATATTTTTTTTATAAAATGAAATATTTAGTATTGTGTCTACTCAAATTTTAGCAAACTATTATTTAAAGACATAGATATTTGCATTTTAAGTAACATTTAATTATTAATTTGTTGATATATAAAAAAATAACATTTAATAATTTGAATCATTCATAAGTTAACTGAATTGAGAAATATCATGCAGGTCTCAATATGCGTCGACTTTTTGGACTGTAATAGAATTTCATTGTAGTAATAAAATGGTACCTAACCTATTCTGGCTAAAATAGTTTTGTATTGGTATTTTTAGATGAAAGAAATATCATTCAAAGTTAACAATCTAATTTTGAGTGAAAAAAACGTAAACAAAAATAAGTTAAATAATTTTAATAATTGAGATTTGATTTACTGTCAAGTTGGATTAAGATTCCCATTAGAACAGAAGGATTCTGTCTTGCAACATAAGTGTAATGAGGTTTAAACGTCAAGAATTTAGGTTCTCAATAATTAAATCAGCTTTTGATATACAACGATAATGTTTATAACTTTGTTTTTCTGTAGTGAAATAACCAACATGATTTTAAGCTAATAGAACTACAAGGTCATTCAACTCGTACGTTGTATAAAATGTCATGACAATGTGCTTTATGTATTTGAGTATAAGTTATCATTAAACATAGTTTAATATGATTATACAAGTTAATTATAAAACAGCTTTTTATGTATTTTATTGATATTAATTTTTTAGATCCAAAGAAAAAAACTTTTCTACGTACCTAATCTGTTGCTTATATTTGTAGTTACTTATTATTTAAAACTGATAATTCATGTTAAATTATTTATTCATATATACAAAAAAAACTTATTAAATACTTAGACGAATAGTTGTTTCTTCTTTACAAAAATTCATATAATATTTTAAGACAATTAGTCGTCTACGCAGTGATTCTTCTTTTCGACTGTTAACGTATCAGGTTCTTAATATCTGATCCATAAAGAGCGTTTATCAAATAAGTTTGAGTAAATAAAAAGCAAACTAATGTCCTGTTTGGTAAACAAGTAATAGGGATCTAGAAATAATATTATTATCTATACGAACATCAGTCAACTTGGTAACAGGGAAAACAATTAAAAAAAGCGAAAAAGACCGCGGTCTAAGTTATCATTAACTATTTCAACATTTATAAAGTCTGTTGTATCTCTATTTTGTGGGAACTTTTCCTAGTCATTGAAAGAGTCCTGCATATTCATGTTTTCATTAGACTTTATTTTGCATTTTAGCTTTTAATATCCTTGCATCATTTTATCTGCCATATTGGACTGCAGTAAATTGATATTTTTATGACAGACATCAAACATCAAACACTTAAAATTAAATCATTTAGTGAAGGTTATTCATCAAAATGTATCACTCTGTTTGGGACGTTATATCCCCAGAACTCACTTGGAAAAGGTCCTAAGCTGTAATTTATTACAGAAATTTTGATCTTTTTTATGTTTTCGCGCATAAGTCGCTTACATTTTCCACTCGGAAAATCATTGACTGTCATTGGTTGATGGATTATTTTAGTATGCTATTTTTTGGCTCTCCCTAGGGCGTTGCTTTCATTGTATAAATAAGCTTGATTTGTGTGCTTGTAGAATGCATTCTTTACGCCTTATCAAGACTTCTTGCTTTTGTTAGCCGAGCCGGGCACAAACGGATTAGAATAGCCTATCGTGTCGCTGAGTCATTGCTTTTGTTCCGTCAACCAAGTAAGGTGAACTCATAATAGTTTAATCCATTTCAATTGACTAGCATATCATTTGGCGACTATATCATACTCACTCACCAGATAAACAGAAAAACGTTGAATTGTACTAGGTATAACAAAACACATTTCATGTTGAAATTATCAAGATTTAAAGGACTGGTAGCGTTCATCGCAATTTCACGCATATTTATTTACATTTTATAATTCTTTCATTCAGTCAGTCAGTCATCTTTGACGTAGAACTTCGTACATACGTACTTCAGTTCAAGTTACTGTACCACACTAACACAGAGATCGAATTGTCAAATCAAATCCCATAGTGTTACAGTTAGTAAAAGGATAAGTGGTGTTCAGAAAGATTAGGGTTCAAAGAGTATAATGTAGTGAAATAAACTTAAGAATGTAAAGGTGGTGAAGAATCAAGAGGATTAGGATTTGAGATAACACAAAGAATGAATGCACATGCGCCATCGCAAACGATTTTGAGCCATGTCATTCAGAATCTCTATCCATCGGATACTACCGTCTCACGAACCCCAACCTTGTAGGCTACAGCTAACAACATGGCTCTATCTAGTTGTCAGTGACCTCATGGATTTGTACCATGTTTTGATTTGGCCTCCCCTAGCTTTCTTTCAAACTTTTCTTACACCACAAAACATCGCTCGTCGAGGCAGTAGATGGTTAGGCGTACGCAACACATGTCCCTAGCACCTCAAATGATGAATATTCAATACTTCATCTATTGATATGTTATCCTTATTTAGTACCCCTTTCCCAACGACAGTGTTGCTTACTCGACGGTCCCAGGATATGCAACCAATGCTTTGAATAATATTGACCTACGAATATCCTCTACTCTTAGTGGCCATGTTTCACAGACATAGAGTAGGACGGAGCAAACTACTGAGCAGTAAACCCGTCCTTTGTTTGGAATACACATATCTCGCCTACGCCATAAATGACGCAAGTTTGCAAAAGCCAATCGAGCCTTCTGCATCTGCGCTGATATTTTATCTGACACCAGGACTAATGAGACTCACCAGGTAAGTAAAGCGGTCAACACACTCAACTGCCTCATTTAATTCTTTCATTCAGAATATTATTTAACAAGATCAGTCCTTCTGTTGTATGTAAATAACGCTGTATCGATCTAATGACTCAGTTACATAAGCAGTCATTAAATTACCACTCAATAAAGTGGAGATATTTATATGTCGCTTGATGCTTAAATCTGAATTTTCTATCTATTTTATTATTAGGTCATCACCCAGAAAAGTTTAAGAATGTGTGATATTATGAAAACAAAATCTAGATTTTATCATTAAATTCAACAAGTCGAATGGATAACAAACAGTAGCTAATGAAGTCCTAAAATAAAAAGAATACCACTTTCTAGCGCTGACTGATGAAAATTATGATTCATGTTAGCCAACAAGATAAATATTGATCTTAGATACTTTTTGTTTTCCTTCTTAAAGTTCTTGTGCAGTAACTTTACAAAAATGAGTTATATGACCAACGTTAATGAAAGTTGTTAAAACATTTTAATAAAAAGAGGTAACATATACTTCTGTTTGTGACATTTTTACTTAGTCAGTAAAAATACTGAAGGTTATTGATCATAAATACCGAGAAGAAGATTAATTCCAGCTATAAGCAACCATTAGATGTTTGCAGTCAACTAATTTCATACATATCGCTAGTTATCAGTTAAATATGCCAGAATCCCTACAGAATCGAAAACAATTTTGTAATTTATTTCTCAGTGTTACTATTAGGAAATCCATAATATGCGAATATGTTATCTTTTCAACATATTCGGACATTAATCGGTTTGTGAAAACCGAAAAACGCATTTGAAATAAATTTACTTTCTCTGGAAGAGGAGGTTACATTAGTCTTCTAAAAGTTTCTCTAAGCATTACTCTTCATTATCTTTCAAGGAAAGATGCGAAACAAGTAACTATTCCATTCTAAACAATTTACTGCACATGAATTATCTCTCAGAACTACACACATGACCATATGACTGGTTGAAAAATAAGTATGGATTGAAGACACGAACTTCATAGGTCATAGCAAGTCAGTTATTATATTCTGAACTGTGTGCAAAAGCAGTAGTTACAATCTCTTTTCCTACCATATAACAAGTTTGAGAGTGGACATCCATTCAATTAGCACAAGTATTTGGAGGAGGTACAATAAAATGTAGTTTAAAAATCCAGATATGGTTAGTCCACCTAAAGTAGTTACATATCAATGGTCACTGAAAATTGGCACTTAGAATAGATTTTATTTACTTTTCATAATACACGTAATAATTTTATGGACGACTTTTCAAACGAAGGAAATATTCTATGGTTTTCTGGCCAATTGATAATACTCATTTATTTAGATGCAAAACTCACTGACATCAAAATTAACAATATCTAATAAGATATACAACTATATAACAACTTCTAATAATCATCTCGTAAATCTTAGTTTACTTACGACATTTTAATTCTTAAGATTAAATTGGTTTTATATTGTGAAGAACACAGAATGAATATCAGGTTTCATATATGGAAACTTGTGATACTTATACATATACTTTGGATTTTCAGTAATATATTTTAAAAAAGATAGCTTTAATTCAATCTGTTTGATGAAACTGTAGACATGATAATATTAAATTATGTTTATCACTCAGTATTAGTAGTAAACCACTGAAAAAGCGAAATAAAAAAACTTATATACATAAAGTCAAGATGTATCTGTAATAAATATTTATTGCAATCAGAATATTAATGAGATTTTATGTCAACCTCAATATATAGGCTTTACTTATCTCATTTCTTATCATTTTAACATAAATTCACCTTTCATTTATAACACTTGCGAATATATTTTATTTCCTTGTTTGATAACTCAGAAATTTATTATAATTAACGTGTACTCTCTTAATATTTGATCAACAAGCATAAAAAGGAAAAGTAATTGACAATTTTATCGTTTCTTTTGTTTCAAGCGTTTGTGTATGTACCCAAAACGAATACTTTTCTATTTACATACCGTATAGATGACATAAGAACATGACATTCTAATGCAAAAATGTCAGGATTTATTGGATTTTTATTCTTATGGAAATAAGAGATATGATCTCACCACGTCTGTAAATTTTGATACCTCAATCATATATTATTTCGCTTCATATTTTTAGAAATCTTGTGTATTTATACTATGTATTCGAATGCTGACTAACTTTTTCAAATCTTTAAACTAGACAATCAAGATTTTTTCAATATTCTTCTAATATATTAAGATATAATCTACGCAATCATCTTAAGTAGTCCACATAAATACTTTTCTTCAGTTCGTAAAGCTATTATTATTATTATTATTAGCATGAATATTATACACACTTTTAAAAGGTATGTTTGGAGAGGTGTGAAGGAAAAATGATGCTGGATCACACAAATCTGTGTAAATAGAAGTACAATGGCGATTTCTAAGCACAAGTATGCAACAAAACTGACAAGCGTATCTGTAGCGCTTTTGCATATTAGACAAACTAAAGAATTTTCTAAGCGTTCTGCTGATATTTATTTTAATCTCTTTTAAAGACTTCATTAAAAATATAGCAATGATGATTACAACTAACTGATATGTTTATTTCATCAATGTAACTTATATCGTATTTCAATTAACACTATGAAAAGATAACAGTGTAAATCGTGGCCCAAATTACAAAATCCACTAATTCATGAATAAATATTGAATAATTTTGAAAGTTTTTCTTTCCAAACAAAATATTTTTCATGTGTACAAAATGAAATATTTAGTCTTGAACTGAGATGAATTCCCGTGAAACATTGTTATTTAGCTGATAGATAAAAAATTAAATAAGCTATCGAAACTAGTGAACATCTATTTACATGTTTATACTACATCAGTTATTCACTTAGCTCTAATACACATTATTAATTGTTCTCGTTTCTATTCATTTTTTTAATTTGCTTCTATGGTAAACTACAAGAAAATCTTAACCATTACCTTATTAAACGTATGAACAGTTTGACCTTAATATTTATATCTAACCATATTTAAACACATACGTCCCACGACACTTAATGGGTACATAGCATATTTGACTCAACTAAGCCCCAGTAATTACGTAAAACATTGGGGTATGTGAAGCATACTTTAGTAGTTTACCCGCATAATAAGTTTTATGTAATTACCACCGCTGTGCTCTTTTTGAGAAAAATATTTCGGTAAATAAGATGAACCAAATAGTTCGTATTAAGAAAAATCAACTCTGACAACAATAGAGTTGGTTTATTTGGTATAGATAAGTATAAACCATGATATTCGCTGACAGTTATAAAGACTACAGTACGTAAAGTAGTATGAATTGATAGAAATGCAAGTTATTTACAGAGGTAGCAATATATTTAGAACAGGCGCTATCGAATAAAGACTGGAATGATACAGTAAGAGAACTGAAGGAGTATGTAGAAGAAATGACAAAATAAGACATGACTCAGAGAAAATTTTTACAAGCCATGTCTAGTTTATCAAAAGTTCAAAGGTATAAACGTAGAAAATAATTCTATAAAAAATGGTGTAGAAATACTATATAAAAAACAGAGGTTTCACAGCCATAATTGATGTCAAATTATGAAACAAATATATTTATTCTATACAATTTCAAGAAATATGTTGGTTGGCTATTGTACGGAGTTGTTTGATAACAGTCGGTATAACTTCTAACCTTCGATAAATATGTTCTGGAAGAGGATCAGATGTATTGTATACATATTCTTCTGTTGGTTCCTGATTAGATTCAGGAGGTGCAGAATAATGAATGGAATAGATTGAAGTTCGGTTATAAACCAATAGTAGTTTGGCTCCATCATTGAATTGCACTTGAAGTTTATCATCACTAAATTGATTAGCCCAACCAACATTTGGGACAAATACTGCATTAGTAGGTAACTGATTATCCTGTGTTTGATTTTCTAAAGGATTTTTGTATTTTTCTTTCAAACAATCAGATATTAATCTATACAGTTGTGAAGATAATGAAATTTGATCTAATAATCCATTTGTGAATGACATTGGTTTTGAATAATTTTCCGAGGAAGTAATTAAGTTAACACCGATTTTAGGACGATGTCCTAATATAACAGGAAATGAAGAACAGGATAAAACTGATATGTCATTATCTTCTGAATCCATTTTGGTTAGTAGTTGTTCAATTTTTCGACAATGATCTCGGCACTAATTAAAAAAAAGAAATAGTAGGATAATAAATCAAATTCAATTTATTATGAAATTTTTATTCAAATTGAGTTAATTGAAAAAGAGAGGTTGCAATTATCTCAATGAACAACACTCAACGATTCATGAGTTTCCAGATTTTCTTCTGGTTCAGTCCGTGTATTTACCGGACAGATCATGTACTTAATGATAATCTATCTATAAACAGTTAGTTTAGTAAAATTTGCTTTAGAATCTCATATTAGTCTGAATTTCGAAGGACTCAGAAAGGAGAAACATAGTGAACATCTTGTCACTTAAATATGTTGTTCGAATTTAATGTCTAGCAATTAGAATGAGAAACTTGTTAGAATGCATCTCATTACAGACAATACAATGAGCACTATGGTCTATATACTAAAATCTGAAAATTATTGACTTTTGTAAAATATTTATGCAATAGTAATGATTGGTAAAATAAAATCACTTACTGAATACACATAATCTATAAGCTTTCTTATCTCAGGAGAAAGCGTTGAAAGACTTCGATTTGAATCAAGAGTTATTGTTGTGGGTGTAATATTACCTTTAACTTTTGTTGAATTATTCTGTTCTGTTGACTGAGTAATACGCAATGATCCATTAGAAGTACATAATACTCGTGTACCATCATCATGGAATTCAGTAACAAAATCTCCTGACGGACCATTTTCCATAAGCATACATTTGACTTTATCAGTGTAAAGTGTTATTTTAGGAGTATGAGCACGAACCATCTGAACGAATCTGATAGTATACACAATAAAATAAAAGCTGTTAGAAAAATGTTTTGATATGAGATCATATTACATTAAATCAGCTTTAAAAATTGAAACGCCTTTATTTACTACTAATAATGATTTTGGCAATTAACTTATTAGCATCAGAAGTGTATGCATCCATAAATAGTTGATAAAAAGTATCGATGCAGTAACAAATGGAAGTTAGTTACCTTAAACCACTGAAACGATACAACTGAAGAATGTCTACAATAGTTTAGTGTTACTTTAGGGTAGTAAGTAACCTATTAAGACGAAAAAGCTGCCCATAAGTAAAAAATCATACTAATTAAGGAGTGATATACAATTCGAACAAGGAAAGCTTAGACTGTCACATAAACGTAACGTCTTATGATACCACTTTAATATTCATATACGCAGTTGAGAATGGGTGGGAATCCGTGGTTTACTGATTGAAAGTTGAACACCTTGACCAATAACTAACAGCTCCAACAGTATTTGAACAACGCTAAAAAACAATCGTTGTCTAATGGACTAAATGATGCATGAATATGAGAAGTTAACCTATTATCGAGACTGAATACACAATAAATATATTGTAAATTGATGTACCATATAGTCAATATACTCACTGAGAAATAAATTGATATTTTCTCCAGTATTTTTGAGGTAGAGTATTTAAAGTATAAAATTCGAGTGGATCACCTGGTGATGCAGGCGGAGGACATCCAAAATTCATGCTTTCAGAATTAACTGGATTTGTTTGGGAAGAGTCACCAAGCCCTTGAACATTTAGAGGTACTCCTTTTCCCATATTTGGTTTATAGATTAAAATATTTTGTCCAGTATTATTTATACCCATCACTTCAATAACTCTCAAATTCTGAATGCTTTTCATTACTGGAAACTGGTTTTGTCGAGTTTTAGCTGAATCTTCTAAAAATTCCAAGCAAACAGACTCATCCTGTAAAATGTTGATTACGGCTAAACGTGTGTAAGTTCTCATAGGCTTCAAGCGAAACGTATTCAATGGTAAAGGATGGGATAAAAATGGCTTGCCAATACTTTTAGATGATAGCTCAGGTTTAGAAACACCAGTAATACCTTTCATACAATCATCATGTTCAGTTGTTACAACCTCTATAGCAGTTGTACGTGAAGGTAATGAAAGAGAAGGACCAGATGAATTATTGTAAGCCCGGTCAACAGATGTGTTGATGGGTTGATAACGATGATTTAATAATGATTTCTTAATTCCTGAATCTGACAACTGTGATAAAACCGAACGGGACTGTTCGAAAGCGCCATCAGAGTAACATGTTTGTCTGATATTCGAATGAGTATTAAGCTGCTCCACAGGCCTTTGTACGTCTTGATGAACATTAATCGCCGGATCCCAACTAGTAGCAGCATGAGACAAAGGTTGCGGTGCCAAAAAGTACGGTATACTTGTATCACACTGGGTATCTGAGACGCGTGTAGAAATAGGAGTGGTACAAGGATGAGTGTCAGATTCATTATCCTTCACTTTGCGAATGTGGTTGGATTTAAGACTGGTAGTTACGTGTCTTAATGGTGTGCGATAAATTGAATCAATCCCGCTGTCATTAGACGTTTTCTAAAAGCAATAAAAATTAGTATTAGAGATTTGTAAGAAATATGGATAGTTAATTTCAAACATAATTAAATTATGACCTCGATATCGGATGTGGTAGAAAAATAAACAATCGAAAATAGAAATAATCACGGCTACTTATTACATGTGTAAACCGAAGAAGCAAGTACCCCCATCTTTGTCAGAACCAATAATTCAAACCTTATAAAAACAAACCAACTGCTATGTTTATAAACAAACGTACATATGTACACTTAGTCTGAAGACCACTAATGTGAGTAGAATGTTTACAAATTGCAAACCATGGTCATTAGTTAGTTAAATGAGGTTTCCAACTGTTAAAGATAACTAATTAAAGAATGCAAATTATAACAGCTAGAAAATAAAAGTGAGCGTTAACTAACCCTCCACCTTCAAAGGATTAAGTTTGGGTGTGAATAAAAGTCTACAGTACAGACTTCAATTAAAGGAAATTCACTGACCATTAACATAGATCAACGATTACTTGTTGTATTTAGCAAAGACATGACTTTTCGCCAACCTTTGGTAAACCCTTCATTAGCTGGCATAAAGTCATACAATTTCGCCTTTAGATGACATCGATGAAGAAATGTATGTGAATTTATAGATGTGCACAAAAATACTCACCATGTAACGTTGAGGACGTGATTTCTTTAGCATAAATGGATGTTGAATAATTGCTTTCAACTTGAGACGTTCCTGAGGTTCGCGTCGAAGTAGAGAATTAATTAAATCAGCTGCTTCAGTAGAAACAGTTGATGGTAGTTCATAATCGACAGCCAAGACACGATTTAAAGTAGAACGAACCTCTCGTGTATCGAATGGTGGACGACCAACAATTAGCGTATAAAACATACAACCTAACGACCATACATCAGTTTCCAAACCCTGTTGATTATGACTAGCGATTTCCCTTTTAAAAAATCAAATAGATAATAACATTTTCAGCTTATATTTGAAATGTGTAAACAAATAAGCGCAAAGAACATAATTGTTACATTCAAATTGATGTACACACTACATAAATATTGGTAGCATAAACAATTCACTTACGGGGAAATATAATTTGGTGTCCCACACATTGTTTTATGATCTTCACCTGGTTCAATTTTAGTAGCCAATCCAAAGTCAGCAATTTTCTATTCCAATAAGAAATTAAAGAAATTTACTACTAAGTTTAAGCAGAGAATCACATATGTAATAAAATTCCTAATGAGTATGAGTCACTTGACAGTCAATTAAAATACACCAATCAATAGTAGCTATTTACTTCAACTAAAGGGAAAATAATTACTTATGAGAGGTAGTTTATGTTAAGGTAGTGTAAGACCGTAAAAACTTAATTATCTCGTCCCACTTCTAGTAATAGTTAATATAACTTTCGTGCTTTTTATCAACAAGTAGTAAACTTAACTAAATTCTTTCATAACTCATCATTATTAGACTATGATAGGAGTGAATTTACTATGAAATGAAACTCAAACGTGTATCAATTAAATTATTTTTCTATCGACTGGTTATATGATGAAATTCATGGTATATGCATCCTTTTAATGAGTCCGTATACTATCATCGAAACAAATATTCTGAAAATAAGTAAGGAACTGAAGTCAGTTAACATGTATGAACTGATGTATGTACGTACGAAGTTCTACGTTGTAACTGACTGGCCGACTGACTGACCAGAGACAGGAAACTAATGATTTTCAGAGCATATGGAATAATTAGGCACCTAACATATTTTTGTGTTGTTATAAGAGGTTCACAGTAACTAATTTATGAATCGTTATTTAAAGGAGACAGTAGACTCAGTGATAAACAAGTTTGTAAACAACAAGAATCCCAATCCCAATAATTTGCAAAATATATACACAATCATCACGGGTTTTGTGAACAAAAGACGTAAGATCTCCTAACAATTTTCAAGATATAAGTAGATTGTTCAATATAAAAACATAAAATATATTATTCATATTTAATTTGCCATAAAATAAATACACAACGACAAAAAACAATAATAAAAGTATTACACTGCTTACAACTTTCATATCCTTAGTTAGCAAAAGATTTGCTAAAGTTAAGTCCCTGTGAATTATGTTGTGTGAATGCAAGTACAGAAGACCACTAATCAATTGTTTTAAATAATGTCGAGCTATTGAAATGAACAAAAACAGGGAAATTTCCATTTATATATTGAAATATAACAACATCCGACTGAAGCTAAACACACATACAGTAACAAAAGCAACTTAATTTTAAAACATTAAAAACGTTACCTAAACATTAGCATGTTGAAGGTGATACACTTTGTTGAATGATGAATTTAGCCCAGATATATTACATGATAATTAAATAAATGTAACTCCGCCTAGAGCTCCTTTACGTCAACTCTTGGTCGAAAGACCCGAGGTGTAGGGTTGTGCAGGTTAGCAAATAAATGCTGAGTTTGCAGAGGCAACAAAGCCGATCCCTCTTCTAAAAACTCAGGCAACAATAAACACTGAGATATGGAATATCTGAACAATGTAGGAAGTTCCTTCAAAGCAATTAAATGACTGCGTAGAACCAACACCGGTGAAAAAGATAGCTCTCCTCTACTCGGTTAGCCACTAGATGATCTGTGAAAATTGTTTCGGAAAATATACGTAATAAAGTATTTACATGGCTATGAAATATTGCTTAGGAAGTACAAAACTACCTGACCATCTAAACATAAAATGGAGAATTCAAAACCCTAATCAGTAGCCTCATATTTCACAAGCGATACTGTGAAATAATGAATTAATATCCATCTAGAAAACCATGTCATGAACATGAGTTAAGCTGCTAGTAAGTTATAATACATATGACAGAGTAGATAATTGTGAAATATATGCATAATGCAGATCAAACTGAATTCAAAAAACATTTCACTAATGTACCACCATTTACAATCACTAATAAGGCAATGTACGGACTATTGTAGTGAAGGAGAACACAGGCGAGGGCAACCGAATTATTTTATCTCAAATTACAGAGTTAATTGGTAAAATAGAAAAACCATATCGTAAATCGTTAATTTGCAAAATATCAATCCATCATATCGAACTGGACTGTTCCTGTTACAAAACATCAATCCATTGTCTGACATTTTACTGTTGATGCATTTCATACAAATCCCATTGTGTTCCCGCTCTTCCTTTCTTGATCTTCCCCCATCTTCAGCTGCCAGACATTACGTTTTTACTCGCGTCATATACTACTTATAAGTAGCGCGCACAACACTATGTTTAAATAAACAATTACATACAAATTCCAGACGGCTTTAGCGTTAGTATGGAAAAATATTTTTTTTGAGGAGACAACTTGATTTTATTACTGACAAATAACTAATCATTTACCAGTATCTTCTGTAACAGGGCCATTTTGACGTATATATGTTTGTAATTCTCCGTTATGACATATTTCCAAAATTAAATAAACATAATTTTCATCTTCAAAACACGTATACAACTGTAAAAATAGAAAAGTGAAATTTTAACTTTAAGTTATCATTGCTATTTATTTTATTTTATTTTTTTTCTTCGTCAATAGAATCAGATTAGTTTTTGGTTATAATGATAAATTATTTGAGATAAAAAGAATTAAAACATGTAAATTGCAAAATTGACGACTATGCTTGAAAGTATCTTCCCGAAGTTCAATCATTTCTGATAATATTTAACTCAAATAACAACTTTGAGCTTATTGTTGTTACATACTTTTCCTTAGTTCATCTTTTTTGTTTTTATTTTGACTTATGTTTCTTTTAGCTAAATTTCTACTCCAATCAATACTATCTTCATTCATCTCTGTACTAATATACAAGGTGTGAGAACTTGACGAGTTACACATGTATCACAAATTCTTAGTTGTCTATAACTAATGAACTGACTGACACAATACCTTCGTTTGGGATACATTTACTGTAAAGAAAACAATGCAGACAGATCACTGATAAATATTCTGAAAAAAACTCGAACGGTATCAACAAACATTTCATAATTTAACTAACCTCCAAGATTGAAGGATGCTTGAGACGACTATGAATTTCTACTTCACGACGTACGCGATTGGCAAGTCTATGGTGAAGCATACCTTTTTTATCGATCTATACATAAGTTTAATAAAATAATAAATGAATGGTTGTGTAAACGTAGCTATAATATGTACAGGTACAAACTATCAAGACTGAAAATCTATTTATGATAAATACTTCAACATTGATATGTTAATATAAAACGATACTTGTGAAGGATATCATCTCAAACGTTATTTGCTTTTGTCCAACTTGATGCTAAATTGTTTACTTATGATCAACTTTTATAAACGTATAAAGAGAAGAACTTAATCTATATGGCCCTATGTTAACTAGTACCACTTGATCACAAAGTATGCTGTACGAATAAAGTAAATGTTAAAAAAAACTAATACACAATTACAAACAGTTACTTTACAGCGATAATATACATTATTTCCTAATGGAACTGGCTATAACTATTTCATTCCATAGTTCGACAGGAAAATAAGGAATTTTTATTCACTAAATGTGAAAAATGAAAAAGTGTTGGAAAATGTATAAATCTTGGAAGGCATATCAAATCTGAACCATAATTAGAAGGTTGTGACCAATAATCTATAAAATTTCCATGCATTCTCCTTCATATAAATAAAATTTATCAGATATAGAGCAATGTGATGTAAAATTTAAAGTTTGTTGACGAATAGTAATTACCATGCGTACATGTACATCACGATTCCTGAATGATACTGAAACTAATTCTTCGAATAAATATGTTGTTTTTAGGAAGATAATCTTAGCTCTACGTAAAGCAAAAGCTTGAATTGAAAGATAATCAAAACTAAGGTGAAACAGGTGATAAAAAGAAAGTAGTTACACATTAGATGAAATAGCATTTAAAATATCAGTATTTAGAAAATGAAGAAGGAACATACCATTTTAATAGCAACTTCTTGCCCGGTAATCGTGGATTTAGCACGATAGACTTGTGCGAAGCCTCCCCGGCCAAGTAATTCAAAAACTTGGAAATCCTTCAAAAAAAATTATAACAATGTTAGTTAAATCATGTACGACTGTGCAATAATCGATTTTAGTATGGTGAACAACATAATTCTAACCTAACATCACTTTAAAACAAAAGCTTATATACAATTCTAAATAATAAGACATTTCTTTTTAGGTATATAATCACCAGACGGAAGTAATGGGAGGGTCCTGTTTTCTATCATGTGATTAAATAAGTGGACAAAGAAATAGGTCAATAAACCAGAAATTAATTTGAGACATTTAGTATTCAACCGATGTATCAACAGATAGTTTTTAAAAAATTAATGACAAGCAGTTATATTAACAGCTTTACTTGAAATATGACAGTCAGTCAGCTACAACGTAAAACCTCGTACGTAAGTACATCAGTTCAAGTTGCCATCCCATAGCAGTAGAGGTAGTAGAAGTATTAGCAGTAATCGGAAAGATCAGGGTTCGACGATATTATTCAAGAAGGATAATCTAGTGAGATACACTTAAAAAGAGAAAGTTAAAGGTGATGAAGAATCCAGAGGACTAAGATTTTGGAGGACACAAAGAGTGGATGCACCTGTGACACTGCAAACGATTTTGAGCCATGTCATTCAGGGTCTCTAACCATCGGTTACCGTCATCTCGCGAGCCCCAACCAGGTAGTCTACACCTACCTACATGACTCAATCCAGTTGTTAGTTACTTCATGGATTTGTGCCATGTTTTGTTTTGGCTGTCCCTATCTTTCTTCCAGTCTACTCCTACAGCACAAAACATCGTTCATCGGGGCAGCCGTTGCTTTTAGTCTTACCGCTCTCCAATCGATGTACCTGGCAAGGTAGACCTAAAGGAACATATGTTCCAGCCAGTATAGCTCGGTTGGATCATCACGACAGGCAAGCCAGGCCAGCTAGTCATGGTAGTAGCTACGGTTGGGACTTGTAATCTATAATATTTAGCGTACTATAAAAGTAAAATATCTAGTTGCGTGAAGTTGAATAATAATGTTAAGCGAATTATCAAGATAAATAATTTGTGCACGGATTGCACTGAGTGAGTGGATATTACAGTGTCAACGGTTCTTTTGGCTAAAAAAACTTGTTTTACATCAAAATACACAAATACCACGATGACTAAATAGTCATACTGAAATGTTGCACCAAAACATATCTGAAATATTAAAAGCTTCAATTTGTAATAAAAAAAGTCAATTATCCTAATAAACACCTTGGTTAATTCGGCAACCTAAAAATTTTTGACTCGGTTACCTCATAGAAGAAATCTAAATACATACGTTTAAGACTATACATTACACGGTTCGCTTTAAAAAGATTAGTTAGATTGAACAAGTTCTGTGTTTATAATACGATGAAAATAAGATAAATTGGCTAGCCTTCGACACTAATCTATGAAATTTAAACATATTATTACCAGAAAACAAGAGCATTTATCACCTTAGGGTCTACGAAAATACGATCTCTGAAAATCTTTACGTAAATGGAGCGCTAGTTTTAACAAACTATGAATGAAATATACATATTTAACTTCCACTGTCGCTAAAATAAAGCAGCATTCAAGTTCTTTCAAAGTGTACACTACATCAATAAAGGTATAAAATCGATAATCTGGATTGCATACATAGGAAAGAAAAGCTATTTCGTTATGATAAAATTCGAATATCATTACCGACAGAAAAAAATGTACAAATAGCCATATATAACGAAGACAATTTTTTTAGCGAGTGAAATATGCTTACCGTAAATGATGTTTCTGGATAATCCACATCCATGAAAAGACTTAATTATCGTAAACACAACTTCGCTAAGTCTTAAAAGTGACTACATAAGTCTATAATAAAAGGATGACCTGTTCAATTTAATCGCGTCAGGCGTTGTCAGGGTGACACGTGTTGCCATATAAAATATGCAAACAAATCGATAGTAGATGGAATAGACATAAATATTAGAGAAACATCTATCCAATAAGAGTAAGCCACATGTGTAGTTTAGGTAGTGCCAACAGTTCTAACAATTCAAACTACTTAGTTATACACTTTAGTTACACCCTTGCACGTTTTACAAAATCTTTGACCGAAAGGGACACGAGTATTCGATTTGAATTGATGGAAAAAGACAAATGAACAGCCAATCAGAAAATGAATAACTGTTTACAATATTCATACTCAACAGCTGATTGGCAATCATCATGGCATGTAAGACACGTTATAATAACACGATGTTGTGATTGGACAAAGTTGTTTATTCGAAACTGAGATAAGTAAGTGATAAAAAGATTAACAGTCATTAAGATATTTGAGAGGAGGAAATTCTCAGAGTGCATTTCTATCTACGGAGATGATAATTAAGATTAAGGAAATACTTTGTTTTTTTCTTTCTTCGCCTCTATTCGCATACCTCTTCCATAAATCAAAAGAGTTGTTTCAGTCATACTATCGAGTGTTTTCATTGAGAATAAATAAACAGAGAATTTTCTTGTAGTTGGGAGAAATTTTAAAAGTTTTATTAGAGCGAAAACATCGTTTATAATATAATTTCATTTCTGTTTTTGGATTTGAAACACAATTTACTTAACACATTACTAGATAGGTATCAATTTTACTACCATTATTAAACATATTACATTAGTGTAGTTATGATATAAGAAATAATTTAAAAAAAGAATTCCATCACCCAGTTAATCTTTTTTTGAATCCAATATTTGATAACACTAGTTATTACAGAATAGAATGTTTGATAATTAATAGCCCAAAAAGCCTACTGATTGTAAATATGAATCACTTGGAGTAATAGAAAACACAGACGAACAGATCTTTGTTGATTTACAGAGCTGGAGCATTTATTGACATTGACTTTTTGTACATCAAGTACCCAAAGAAAAGAATTGTGAAATTTGCAATCAGTAACAGGAACTCGTTAATCAAATAATATGAAAACATATACTTTACATATTGTCAACTTAGTACGTACGTAATTATTTATTCACCATTTTTAACATGAGTACATATAATTTTCTTTAATGTAAGACACTATGACTAAACAGAAATTATGCAACCCATAAAATAAATCATTGAAATAAATTTCGCTCAATACCCGATACCTACTAACTGTCTTACAATTTGAGACTTGTCTTTAAAGTAAACACTTGTTAACAGCCAAACATCCATGCATAAAAGTGACTGGAATTTAATTAGCTTTAAATTTCAAACCCATAGGAAGTCTAAATGTATTATTATTACTCTTATCTTTTGCTACTGAATATTACTACTGCATACTCATCGTGTAACTCATTGCACAAATTACTTTCTCACATTAAAAAGCAATGATCTATATCTGTTACCTTACTCGGCAATTACTTTCAGACAGTACAGTGCAAATGACAGTATGCCGTTTTATTAAACAAAAATCCTTCTTTAGTAACACATTATGACCAGGATGTATTAATCTAGGTGGTTTTATAGGACGACATGATACCGAATGGTAATCTAGTAATTGAAAGATAAAAAAGGAAATACACTACCATTTTTTGATGAGACAAATTTAAGCAACCTCATAAGTGACCTAAAGAAATTTTTTGGATTAGAATTAAGGAGAGGAAATAAGTTCACGTTTACTATGCAGTATGAAATCACTACAATATTATCGGGTACTCATGAATACAGACTGTTGGATAGTCAGGTATTATGGTGGAGTGTCGTTCTCTGTGCTGGATGGTCTGGTTATGAAGCCTTCAATGTTCATCCGAACAACATCATGAGTATAAACTTCATGTAGAAGGAAAGCGTCAGAATTTCTCCACGTATGACTCGTAGCTGAGATTTCCGATGTATTTTTTATATGGTAGAATCATCCGTTTGTTGGTTCCCGTACTTGATTTGACTTCTGTTGATGGTTTAAGTTGACATTTATTGATGGAGCTGAGTAGAAAACTGTCCTTCTGGAAGACAGTCATCAGATATTTTTTCCCGCCTTTTGGTGCTTTGTATGGGTTTTCATTCTTTTGAAGAAAGCTTGTACGAAGTCGATTTTTGTGACTGGCACCAGTCATCGAAGCCACTCACCATTGAACTGAGACATACTAATAGCTGTAGAGTACTTGACTAGGGTATATGGGATAATCCTAACTAGTGGACATAAAATGATATGGCTCAAATCTGTTTACAATGGTGCAGGTGCATCCATTCTTCGTCGTCCTTCAAACTCCAACCTTCTGAATAACTCGTGTTTTATATTACTTGTTTTTATTTCAGCAATATACACTTTCTCAAATTTTATCGACACACCCAAATGATACTGTAACTAACTTTACTACTTTGAAGTTCCACGCAACAGTTTTATCCGTACTAGTGAGGTATGGCGACCCGAGTTGATGTACGTACGTACCACGTCCTACGTTTTATCTGACTGACTAATTCTTTACTTTTGGTAGCCAATGGAAAGCGGCAGTGAGATGAGTTCAAAGTTCAAAGAAGTTTGAAAAAATCTTACACCGAAAGCCTTCAAACGCATGACTCTACCATAAGTAGAGGTTGGAAAAGACTATTCTGTTATTAAACGCCATTTCAGTAATGGATAAGAGCGAAAAACAAAATGCTGAGAGAAATGGTAATAATGTACGCAACCATAGAGCCTGAGAAATTGCTCTGTCCATGTCAAGGAAGCGACAGAGTACGCAGTGGCTCTACTATCATGGTTTCTAAATCTACTGTTAACCCACCACGACCGAGACAATGCTAACCCCTAATAAGTGCCACTAGTATTTAAAAGTAACTATACAACGTTAGTTTTTACTTTTCGTAATTCTGTAAACAACGTGTCTTCCTCGTGAAAAACGAATGTAGTATGCACATGGTATATCCAAGGCAATGAACGATAGACTTTGCAGACATGACTTTAGAGATGTTCAGTGATTAATATACAGAGGATACTAAACCAATGAACAATAAGTAGACCAAGAAATATGTTGTTACGATCCAATAAAAAATTTCATAACATTGTTTATGGGAAGAAACGTATGTCGAAGAATTATAGGTTACTTCGTATTGATGAAAGAGATCATAGTATCCAAAAGCTAGAAATATTTGGCTTTTAGCTCTGTAAAAATTCAGAAGGAGACACAAAGGAAAGCAACCCAAGGACTTCCTCGAAGGTTGCTGTACCGTGATGTGGTGGTCGAGCATGCCTATAGTGATGATCCAACCGAACTATATTAGCTGGAACATATGTTCTTTGAGGACCTACCATGCCAGGTAGGTCAATTGGAGAACGATGAGACTAAAAGCGACAACTTAACGTCGTACTGCTGACTGTAGAGGGATGTGACAGCAGTAAAGTGTTTCCCTCGCACGACCAGCATCTGCAGAGATGCTGCATACTCAAAATGGAAGAGGTTAGAAAAGGTTGGCCCTAAAAATGTCACACCTCGCATTACCTCACTGACTTCCGTCTTCGGCAGTAAAGTCTCTTGAAAAGCACAGCTAACACGTTAAAAACATTCCATGGAGAGGTCGTGCGTGCCCAGCCTCAAACAGTTGTCTTGAGGGCTCTTCGGTCACGGTCACAGGTCTCACAGACCAACACTAATCCGATTTCCTTTTCAGATTCCTCAACAAACACCCAGCCGGGCTGTGGGCATCTAGGGAGTGACAATCACCTTCATACCCGTTAAAGCGAAGAAGACCGAATCAGTCACAATCAAATCCTTCCTACACCTCTTAATAACCCTCTTACCTCCATGACCAAATATTTCGTTCCTTTGTCACCTCGCGCTACTGTCGCAATCGATCCAAGTAAAGGAAACGTTAATCCTACTCTGCTGAAACCAACCTCTTGTTTCAAATATGGTAACAAGCTTCCTTAGTTATGACTCTAGAATCTCGCGCCATCTATGTAGCCTGCGTCTCGGAAACGCGCATACAGGATCCTAGTAATATCATCAATCTGATTTCACCTTGTCAAAATGAAGAAGCAGCTCGATTTACTCTTCGTGTATCTGGAAGCCGTGATGCTGCTTCTCGTGCCCTTGCTGGTGTAGGTTTAGCATTGAGTCGTAGGGCAAAACTAGCTATGTTAGAATGGATCCCAGTACATAATCGCTTGTGCGCTATCCGCCATAACGGGACAGTAGGGACTCGGGAAGATAGGGACACTCGTCGTTCCCTCTTTGTTATATCTGCCTACACTCCCACTAACTGCAGGTCGGACGAGGCAGAACATGATTTTTAAAAAGAAGCTTTCCAACCTCCTTCAAAAAGTTAGGCACTTTGATATAGCGATAGTAGAGGGTGATCTTAATGCTCATAAAGGTAGGCTAAACGAAAATGAAAGACAGAGGTGGATCTTATGGTGTTGCGGCTCAAAAAACTGTGCTCAGATAACCGCATACTCCTGACAAATACTAACCTTCAGTATGAAGAACAATAGGTTTTGACATGGTGACCCCCAAAGTTAACGCATCGTTGGATCCAACTAGATCACATCGCTATCAGCCACGGATGGTGGCTCGATAGAAGACTGTCGCTCATTCTATGAGCACATATTTAGATGCACATCATGCTCTAGTACGAGCACGTATTCGTCTGTGGCTTACTGGACGTGAGGAAGACACTGCAAGGAAACCTCTTATGGTTCTATTTAACGATACGAAAGCCAAGAGTATATTTCTGGGGCAACTAGAAGGACAATTATGCAGCTATATAAGTGATGCATACCGTGAGGCAGCTTGGAATGATATCCAGTGAGCAGTAATATCTTCTAGTAAGGTAAACCCTACGGTTAGGGAGAAGCAATGGATCTCAGTAGCATGTACTTAACTGATAGATGCTTGGAAACTCATCCCTGCCAGCTCTGAATAGGATGAAAAGCGGAAGCAGCTTAAACACAGGCTGATTAGAAGCCTACGTAATGATCGCAAACAGTGGCGGTTAGAGTAAGCAAGAGAGATGGAAAAGGCAGCGGTGATAGATAACGGTAAAAAACTATTCAGATTTATCACAGAAATCGGAATTAGAAATCCGACTGTCAAAAGGGCCATCTCGGAAACGGATAGGACCAATAATCATTCCCGATCAACGAGATTTGAACGATAAGCAGAACACTTTAGGGGCCAGTTCAACTGGCTTTCAGCGACACGTCGGTCACCCACGATCTCCAGTCATCCTGAATGGCAAGTGGGTGTAGGCCCTCCAAAACCTGATGAAGTTGAGAAAGCTATAGGAAATTCGAAACAAGGGAGAGCAGAGGGTCCTGATAGATTGGAAGAAAGTTAGGGGCGGCCAGACCAAAACATGGCACAAATCCATGAAGTCACTGACAAGTGGACTGAGTCATGTTGGTAGATGTAGACTACCTGGTTGGGGTCCGCGAGACGAAAGTCACCAATGGTTAGAGACCTTGAACGACATGGCTCAAAATCGTTTGCAATGGCGCAGGTGCATCCACTCTTTGAGCTCTCTCAAATCCTAATCTTCTGGATTAGCCAGCACCTCTACCTTTGTCTTTCTAACCTTATCTCACTGAATTATATTTTTTGAATAATATCTTCAAACCCTAGTCTTCTTTATTAACATTAATACCTCTACTATCTTTATCACTATGGGATTTGATTTGACATTTGCGTTTCTGTGCTAATAATGTGGTATGGCAACATGAACTTATGTACATACGTACGAAGTTCTACGTTGCAACTGACTGACTGACTGAACATATAGTAAAATTAACTACAAATTGTCTAGCTAGGAGTGCTTAGTGGAGTGTCTTGGAGTGAAGTCTTAGGATCACTGCTATTCCTGTCCTATGTAAGTGGTTTTTCTAGTTTCCTGAAACTTTATCCCGGCGATATCGAGATATCGGTAACTGAAAAACAATATTGGAAGCGTAAGAACTTAAAAGGGTTTACAGAAATTATTCTTCTATCAATATTCATCTTCATATGGATTTCGATGTATATTAGGCGTAAATGAATACACTGTGACTGATGTTGAGTTATTTTTTATCCAGCAAATCTGATCCTATAATTACTGTTTGTTAATAATTGAACTTTCCACAGACCTATCAAGTACAATTTTCACTATAACTTGTGATTATGGCTTCTCATTTGAGCGTATTTAAAAGGAAGTTTGATAAGCTGGAAGGCTCCTAACTTTGGAACTAATACACGTCCTTTGTTATTTTCAAACTACCAATTACTATAATAGCAATAATGCTGAAATTCCGATTTTTAATTAGCATATTTTACATAAATACACGTCATTCGACGGAATGTAATGTAATACCATAAGTCTCTATTGCGGCATTTGAAATTCAAACACAACCCATTTAACATGATCTCGAAACGAAGCTAATGATCGTGATCGCAACTGAAGAATAAAAACTAGTTAAAATAGTAAATAGTTCAAAGTACATTGGTTGTTTCCTACTTAAATGTTCCTTACAAGTATGCATAACTACATAAAAGATTTTTTAAATAAGATATCTAGTGGAAACTTGACTGAGTGCATTGGCTTCTGAGCTATATTGACCCGTCTGACAATAACACTTATCGACACGTGATTATGCTGCATTGTATTCGACTATGAAATTCTTACGAAACCTCCCGGAGTTCCACTTAGTAAATACCAGAGAAAAACAGACACATTTAAAATTAGTACACAATTTTGGAGAAATCTAGTTTTCATAATCAACTGCAAATAAAGATAAAAAGGTTTATCGGTTGAGTCTAAGTAGTAATCAACTAAACTTCCGTTATTCGATACACATGAGTTGGGCAGAATATGTGGGATATTTTGAGGTTCCTCCAACCTCGAAAACGTTTGTTTTATTAATTCAGTTCTGAGATTCTCCGTCAATGATGGATGTATTGTAGTTGTCAGGTTGTTAAATGAGATCTCCGAGGTTTTATACATTGTTCTTTATTACAATAAATCTATAATCCAAGTTCTAAAGAATTCAGTTAGCTTTAAGAAAACTTAATTAAGTCTTCACAGACTGAAGTCTGCATATATAAATTTATATAATGCTTCATATAACGAAAAATTACTGAGAACTATGAAACAAGTAAATAATAACTCACTTCTTTTTTGCACCCTACTCCTTTGAATCCAGACATATCCCAATAACAAGTAGAGAATATTGCGAGGCCTCCTTGGGTCAGGATTTTATAAGTGGCACCGGTGAGTGTGTGCAAGGCTTCAACTCTATTGGTCTATTCAAGTGTAGCTGAACTTTATTCGCTTGTTTATAATAGCTGGTACAGACAAGATTTCCTCATTGCTCTTGCAACTTATAAAAATGATGTTTTTAACGGAACCTCTATCGCTAGTTCTAATCAGTCTCTTGTTTCAGACCATCCAACTTTAAATATAAAACTATTTCAGAGAAAATTTCCCTTGTCTTTGAGAAGAAACCTAATTGGTATTCGTAGATTTTTGTCTTGTTCAATTTATTATTATTATGTATATATGATATTGTTTCTGTCAGTGATTTCATTTTTTTGGTTTGCTAAACATCAAGTCCAATAAAATGTCGATTAACAAAGTATACTCCAGATAAATTGTCAAATAGTACTGTGCAAAAATAAAGGGAGAAACAGGTTTTCAAGAGAACTGTGCGTAAGAGATTAAACAGGAAAAACTTTTAGGTCAAAAAAGTTCTCACTTTTGTAAGATATGTAAAAGATACCTGTTCAGGATCGCCGTCGGCTTTAATACCGAGCGATGTACAGTATTATCTCCAGCCATTAAGTTTCGAAATCGAAGAGTGAGTAAAATGAAAAAAAGTCAACAGATTATCTGTCGGGACGAATTTTAACCCCATCACAAAAGAATAGGCGTCAGTCATGGGTTTTTTATCAGTCTTCTGATGTATCATGATCGGTTTAGGGGAAAACGCAGATACATTGTGATAAGGCACTGTTTCACCATGTCTTTTTATTTTCCAAACTCTTCTCTACTTCAAATACTTCACTTATACCTGAATTTTATACTGACTTTGTTCAGAAGACCAGTGAAAGCTCCACATCCGAACCACACAGCCTAGAGAACGGAAATCCACGTTAGTCTTGAGAGTAACTCAGTTTACCAGAACGGATACTGAATCATGTCTAACAATTTGACGACACTTGTCTATCGAACTCCCCCATGCGACTTTCGGTTATTGAGAACGGATTATTTTATCACTGGTTTAAATTTTATCGACTCTAACGGAATTGTATCTGTGCGCTAGGGACACTTAGAAATATCACAGTCTAGCTACCAGCTTCATATGAGTAAAGCGATAAAGGTCATTGATGTTGGCGATCTACATTGATGAGTAAGAGTTTGAATTGCGCAATCTGTTGCACCTTTCAAAGTTCTGCAACCAACTATTCCAAATTCAATTCAAACTCTCACTTTCGCTTTAGTTGCTTTTTTCATTCAAGACACATGCAAGCTGATTAGGAAGACAGAAATAAAATTTCCAATGAGAATTTTGCCCTTGCATTCTCTGATGGTGATTGGATAATACTAGATCCCAAGCTACATTATTAATTAATGAGAGGCCAGTGTCAATAACTCTGTCTGCATTAGAAAATTCTATGATGTAGATCTGAATTATTCATCCAGATATGTACACATTTCTTCATTTGAGTAGACACGAACAGATACTTACCAATTAAACAAGTCTTCACGCAATCCGACCAACCTAAAGACCCGCGAATCGAACTCCGATACTGTTATCTCCGACAATTCAAGGACAGTCTAAGCAAACTGAACAGTAACTAAACCATTCATGAATTGGCTCAGTTCAAATTATCTACACTCCAACTAAGCGATCTCCGGCCTAGTAACCTGATAACCGCTGGTATACAGAAACCATGGTTCCATCAGAATCCAGGTCATCAGCCTGGTTACGGCACGAATACAGAGGGCTTGAATGGCTTTCGCCAACTTGCGTACCCGAGATATCCGTCTGCTAACCAAAAGACGAGACTATTGTGAGGCAGTTCGCTCTGTTCTACTGTACGGGTGTGAAACATGGCCAGGAGGAAGCGAGGATATTCCCAGTTTACGGGTTTTTGAACATAAGTATCTCTGAAGCATTGCTATTGTATAATGGGACAGTCGAGTAAGCAATGTAGTCGTTAGGAATCGAGTACTAGGTAGGGATAGCAGATCGATGAGTGATGTATTGAAACTTCAATAGTTGAGATGGTTGGGACATGTGATACCTATGCTGAACCATCGACTGTCTCACCGGGTTGTGCTTTGTGGCTTGTGAGTGGGTTGGAAGAAAGATAGGAGCTTCCAGATCAAAATATGACACAAATCCATGAAGTCACTGACAAGTGGACTGAGTCCGATCTCAGAGATCCAAAATGACATGGCTCAAAATCGTTCGCTATGGCGCAAGTGGATCCATTCTTTGTGTTTTGTCAACTCCTAGTCCTCTGGATTCTTCATCACCTTTATCTTCTGCTTTTAAGTTTGTTTCACTAGATTATGCTTCTTGAATGATATCTTTCATAACAGTTTTCCCTTTGGCTTTGCAGTCACGCTCCGAGGTCGTTAAGACCAACACTAATCTACCTTCCTTTCAGGTTCCCGAAGAAACACCTTTCCACGTGGTGAGTAGCCAGGAATTAACATCCGCCCTGGTACACATAAAAGCACAGGAGACCGAATTGGTCACAATCAAATTCTTTCTACACCTCTTAATAACTCCCTTATCTCGTCGATCAACCGTTTATCACCTCACGCCACTGAAGCCAATGGTTTGAGTCCACAAAAAAATTCATGGTCTCCTGAAACCGCGTACTAAATTACATGTAGCAGCTATTAACGTTCGGGACCTATGCCTAATAGAGCAACAGGCTTCATTAGCTAGAACTCTGGAATCCCTGGTGATCGATGTATGTTTCGCCTCCGAAACGTGCATACAAGATCCGAGTAAAATCATCAATTTGATTTCACTTACTGCAGATAGAGACACAATAAGGTTTAAGCCCCGAGTTTTTGGAAGATCTGATGCCGCTTTTCGTGGCCTCGCCGGCGTAGATATAGTATTAAGAAAGAAATCTATGAAGTCACTAACAAGTGGAGTGAGTCATGTTGGTAGATGTAGGCTACCTGGTTGGGGTCTGCAAGACGAAAGTAACCGATGATCAGCGATCCAGAATGACATGGCTCAAAACTGTTTGCAATCGCGCAGGTGCATTTACTCTTTGTGTTCTATAACACTCTAACCTGAATTCCTCATCACCTCTATCTTTCTCTTTCTAAATTTACCTCACTGAATTATACTTCTTGAATAACATTTTCGAACCCTAATCTTTCCGATTACTGCTTATACTTTTACTACCTCTACTACTATGGGATTTGGACTGACAATTATATCTCTGTGCTACCGTGGTATGGCAACTTGAACTGCTGTACTTACATGCAAGGTTCTAGGTTGCTGTTGATGATGGCTAGGTTATTTGTGAACATTTAAGTACATGGATCTCCGCCAATGAGAACACGTCTCTTACCTCAGATATTTATCCTAATTGCATCAGTAAGAATAATATCAGTCATGGACCAGAGATCGTCAAAGCATCCTTTAAGAAAAAGAAAAAATTGATCTCATTGAGTGTCACTCATTGCTGTGCACCCACGTTAAAGATCGATTCTATGGGAGAATGCAGTCAGTCAGTGAGGAATTCCCAGAAAAATGCTTGACCATTGTTATGGAAGACTCAAACGCCCAAGTTAAAATGATAACACTGAATACGAAGACATTATGGAAAATATCGTAAACCAGAACGACCAGTGAAGGGCGAGAAGAGTAAAGAAATCACCGATATTCAAGATGCGTTGAAACGGGTGGGTAGAGTAATTTAAATTTTCTCTATAACCGCTAATACTTCTATCTCTATTACTACGTGGTTTGAACTGATGTACTTACGTACGAATTTCTATGTTGCAACTGACTGACTTCGAGAAAACATTTGGTAGCGTTGACAGTATAACATGATAGAATCTTCTTCGACACTATGGTGTACCTCAGAAGATAGTCACCGTCACACGGAATTCTCACGGTATATAAAACAGTAAGATCGTGCATAGAGGACAGCTCACAGATTAGTTCCAAGTGAAGACTAGTGTCAAACAATGTTACTTCCTCTCACCCCTATTCTTTCTACTGGTGGTAGACTGGATTATGAAAACGTCAACCGCTCAGTAGAAGCAAGAAATACAGTGGACAGATGGGATGCAGATAGACAATTTGTACTTCCCAAATGATCTGGCTCTTGTATCCCACATACAACAACAAATAAAGGAGAGGACTGCCAGTGTAGCGGTAACCTCTCTAACAGTAGTTCTCAACAGACACAAAGGAAAAAGCAAGATTCTCCAATACAACACAACATGCACCGAACAATATCAAACCCAGAATTACCAATGCGAACCTCAAAACAGTTCTGTATGTAACGGAAACATTAGCAACAACCTACTGTAGTAGAGAACAAACCGGATCCTAACAGACGAAGAAATCATAAAGTGCTGGAAGTGGATGCGGAGCACAAGGCGTAGACAACCTAACTGCACCACAAGGTAAGTCGTAACTCTAAATCCTCAATGCCAAAAGAAAAGAGGGAGACCGAGGAACACATTACGCTGAGAATCGGAAGCAAGCATAAAAAATGAACAGAACCCGGACAGGACTGGAAAAGAAGGCCCAGGACACAGTAGGCTGAAGAATGCTGGTCGGCGGCCTATACGCCATTGGAGGTAACGGGAGTAAATAATCTTACAGGAAGCCACATTCTTCAGAAGCTGGAACGCAACATATGTTACCCGCAAACATACACAAAGACCAAAGATCCTTATCTAGAGCAACAGACTAATAAATTTGACCTTCGTCATCTCATGGATAACAGTGTCCAAAGATTAGGTACCTGGCCACTTACTCAAAAAAGGCTTATTTAACCAGTTTTTCAAGGACAAATACCGAATAACCAAAATCAAATTTAAAACCAAAAGTAGACTCGATGATTTAGATAACTGGGACAAGTGTTCAAGCTTCGAACTTAACAGTGATATATAAGGTCGGTTGTATATTCGACATATGTTTGTTGAAAGAAAACTCACAATTGATAAGAATGGATTTTACAAACCTGAAATAACAACTTATGTTTCAGTGCATTACTCGAAAAATCTAAACATATCTTCACTAAAGCATCCTAGGTCAAAAAACTACTAGGTTTCGCTCAATACTTTGTGACTAACATATTTTTACACTACACATGGATAACAAATAAGTTTATAGTAGATCTACAATATATTTGTTAATTGTGACTAAAAAATACTTATTACAAAAGTTTGGATAGAACAAATGTAGAGACAAAAACTGTTTAGGAAAAACAATGTAAGAAGCGGTCGCGCTACAATAAATATCATATAATTATGACAAAAGGTTTATTAGGAAGAATTTTCATCTATTCTGACAGTTTAAATAAGCTTTTTAAACAAATGAACCAATGAATAAATGACTTTCTTTCAGAAAAAATATTGAGGAACAAAAAGCGTAAAGTCAAAAATTACGACAGTAATATATTAGATTATTTTTCAGTATTCAATTATCAACTCGTGGGAAAGGAAAAAAATCCAAAGAAAAGCTTCTTCACCAAGTTACAAGTTATACATATATATATGGGTTAAATAAGATCACACACAAAACATTGCACACACTCAAAAGATATCATCGTAAACACTAGGTTTTTATAAATTCAATTATGTTAAAGAATGATACAAAAGGGCTTGATGGTTTGAGTAAATGAAATCTAATAGGTATGTTGATAAAAGATGCTTGGACATAATTAACCATTGTAAAATAAATAATATTAAGTTTACAGAAAAATATAAACAACTGAAAAATATACAGCTTATAACAACATCAAAAGTAATAATGAGGAGCAAGTTGCTGTAAGCAGTACTTATTATATTAATAGTATGTGTACAAGAAACAATCCGAAGTAAATGAAATAAATAAAAATACGAGTTTGATTTCATTAATGTATTCCAAAATAATCAAACCAATAACTGGCAAAATATAATACGAACTCACTAATATTTGTGTACACTAAATATATGAGAAACAACTGAAAAACAACTTGAAACATGTAATTGATATTATTGAGAAAATGCTATTTCAGTTGTACCATGTAAACTGAAGCTACTAGATGTAGAATTTGTAGAGTGAATAACTGTAGAATGATCCGAAGTAAGTATATTCACAGATTCAGATAGTATAGAACTATTACCTGTTTCTGATGGTATATCTTCAACAACAGCAGTTACATAGCATTCTTCAGTATTTGATGTGCTAGGTGATTGTTGTTTGACTCTAATTAAATTTGACTTACATTGGTCAAACTCATCTGTATTCACAATTTGACTTCTTGAGGATGTAGTAGTTGCATAATATGGAGGAGAACTATATAAAAAACGATTGGTTCGTTTAGCACTGTTAGATTGTGGATAAAATGCATTACACCAGTGACGAGTGAACCAATTGCGAAATAAATTCATGGATGAGTGATTATTTCTAGAACGAATATTACCGAGAGGTTTATCGGGATTAAATATGTTTTTAAAATTTATCATACGCAAATTACGCCGATTCGCTAGATATTGTGATGAATCTAAATTAATTGAATTACTGGTAGGACAAGTTCCCTGTGGTTGCTCTATAGAAAGATTTGTTTGTGATGTTAAGTGTCCTGGGCAGTTAGTGTAAATAAAATTCATTTGATGGATAGATAAAATCTAAATATGGGACAAAATAAAATGGAGAACGGTACTATTAGATGTTATAAAATCATTTGATTGTTTAACTCAGACAATGAAACAAATTTAGAAAACCATGGTCAAACAGATACGCAGAGTTTAGCAATCCAATAACTGAAACAATTGTCTTTAGAAGCTGATTGATTATTAAGATGAAGCGAACAACTTAATATATGAAACTTTGGAAGCTACTCTCTGGGATATCAGTAGAATATGCAATTACTAGGCAACTGGTCTATGATGTTTTCATATTGTCAGACTGTAGGTCATCAAAAGGCAACGTAGAGCCTGACACATGTGCATATCGGTCCAAATTGACATATACCATCAAGTCGAAACACAGAGTATTAGATGTAGTAACAGTATTATTGGTAATCGAAAAGACTAAGCATCAGAGACACGATTGAAGAAAATATAGATCAGTACGAAGAATGATTTGTAAAAAGATTTAGAAACTTGGAATCTAAGGGAAGACAATGAATGAATGTACCTCTGCTATTGAAGATGATTTCGAGTCATGTCATTCGAACTCGTTAACCACTGGTTACAACAATCACACTGACCCCAACCAGGAAGTCTGCGCCTATCAGCATAGCTCAGTTAGACAGTCAATGGCTTCATATACTGAAACCATGTCTTGGTTTGACCGCCCCTAACATTCTTTCAACTTTCCCCTATAATAACCATCGTCACGTGTTGAGATAGTCAGTGGATGGCTAGTATGTACTACACGCCAAAACCAACTCAGACGATAAAGATTCAATTGATTGGTCATAATTATCTAGTACCCTACGTCTAACCTCAGAATCGCTAACTTTATGGTCCCAAAATATACGAGCAACGCTTTGACCATACGCATAATCTGATACTAATAATCTACGAATATCGTCTATTCTCAACGGCCATGTTTCAAATCCATTAGGAAGAAAAGAGCTGAGCAGTAAACCTGTTCTTTGGTTGGCAGACACACATCTACCCTACACCACAAGTGACACTTTAAACTGAAACAGATCTATTTACTGAAATAAAATGCAGTTATTACACTAAAAGAAACACCGAAGACTTACCTCTGAATCATGGGTGGTCGAGCATAATGGACCTGTTAACGACTGGGTAGTCGAAGTTGTTGCCTCATTAGTATTATTAGACATGGATATTGAATGATCAGTTAGTGAGGCGACTGTTGCGGTCACAACAGAGCATGTTTGATGAAAAATATTACCAAGGAAAGATTCACAAACCATAAGTGCTCTAGGTTGACATGACTCAGATGTAGTGACAGAGGTAACTACACATACTGGTAAGAGATTTGTACTCCACACAGATGAACCCGTCATCTGCTTTGGTGGGAGAGATAAATTTGATAACAATGGGATGGTAATACTGTTTGTCACGTTACGACTTGGTAGAGTAATGTTATCATTTTGAATGAATGGAGTTGAATCTGAATTTTCAAGATTCGGCTGGCCATCGGTTTTAGGGAATGACTGAGCGTGAATTATTATGGAATCGGTAGCGTTAGCAAAGCCATTAGTACCAGTCAGCACCAAATAAGTTAATGGAGATCCATGTGCTACTGTCAGAAGATTGCTCATAATTTGTGATTGACTACTAATCAATGAAAGGCTTTCTATCACAGAAACATCATTACTCGTTTGTGGGCTGGATAAATTACCCGATACCAAATTAGAAAAAGTTGAACAAACTGAAGGTATGGATAAAGTCGGACCAGAGGTAGAGAGTACTTGATTAGGTAAGCTTTCCAAGTTAGTGTAGCTGCAAAATAACTCTGCACGAAAACCGTATGCTTGTAAAATATCCAGTTTACACATGGGACAACTACGTTGTTCCAGAAGCCAAGGATCGATACAAAGTTTGTGAAAGTAATGTCTAAAAAGAATGATTAAATATGGTAAAAAGTTTATGCAATGAAATTTTAGAAAAACAAAAGTAAAAATTCAGGATGAAATAGTATCCCAGATAATCATTATTTATCAAAGTAAAACAAGATATTTTAAAACGACAGTAAATGATAACAATATTTATTGGAATTAAATATCGTTTAGCGATACAAACAATATCTCTTATTCTAATGATAGAAAGTGGGAGTCTTAAATGAATTTAATATCCTACATGTACATAAATGAAGTAATTTTCACCTTGCCGCAATCCAATATAATAGCTTTAGCTGTTCTATCCAAAATTTTGGTAAACAAACGAATTTTTTCTTTAGCTAAGGTTTTTGTTAGAATACAGTAGAATTTTGTTCAAAATTTTGTAGGTTTTTATAAAATAATAACCGACGAAAAATAAATTTAATATATGTAGAAAAAACACTGAAAAATTTAAACTTTTTCCGCCCTTGAATCCCTGATTTTTGCAATGAAAGGGTAGGTTGAATTCCTTGCATTTTAGTCGTCTGCTAATATTACACTATGTAATTTTTTTACCTACGGTCTTACATTAATTACATACATAAAGACTTTTGCAAACTCCCTTACTTTTGGCTTGCTTGAATGAGCTTCCTTTTCTATTTGCTTATCGGTTAAGTTTTAGCGTTGTTGTGCTATTGATTAGTGACCATTTATAGATTGAACAAGATCTACATTATGCTCTTTGGTGAATGTTAGTACTTCACATATCCCAGATTGTTGTGCTAAATATTAAAAATGGAAACCAGAAGGGGTTTCAAGATACACTCTGAAAAATTAGGATGCATCCCAAAAGAACAACTGTGGTGAAGTTATTCGTGAACAAAATAAGTACTTCTAACATGACACCATTCAAACACCATTGGTTTCACCGTTGGTACCGACTAAAGTATATCCGATTTTCAAAATAATATACTCAACAAAATTTAACGAGTGGTTTATATGAGACACATATTCAGAATAGATTTCAGTAATCAGCATTATGTTTGAATGTGTTCATTCAGTGATTTAGTGACTATTTAATTTTCTGTAACAAACAGTAGGGTTTCCCGAAGCTCGTAATAATTGAAAGCTAAATGTTCATGACAAGATAAATTTTACTTCGAATGACTTATTTCAAGTGTGACATCACCTTGGGACAGTCTGGATCCTAAGTTGGAAATTGTCAAATGTTCTAAGTAAAATATTATTTCAACGAACATACTTTTCCCCACAAAATGAAATCAAATGAAAAACAATTAAAAAATTATTAAACACTAAAAAACTGTTTCGATATAGTCTGGAACAGCATCACAGCCTCTAATTGGATTTGAACACTAGAATTTCATCTTTTTCACTGTCTCCATAAAATTCAGTCAGTCATCCAGTTACAACGGAGAACCTCGTACGTACGTGCGTACATTGGTTCAGGTTTCCATACCACATTAACACAGAGACGCCGTTGTCAATTCATATCCCATAGAGGTAGAGACAGTAAAGATTGTTACAGTAATGGATTAGATAAGGGTTCGAGAAATTATTCAAAAAGTATAATTTAGTACAATAAATTTAAAAAGAGAAAGATAAAGGTGATGCACCTGCGACAATGCAAACGGTTTTGAGCCATATCAATCAGGGTCTCTAACCATCGGTTACAACCATCTCTCGGATCCCAACCACGTAGCACATAAATAACAACACGACTCATTCCACTAGTCAGTGACTTCATGCATTTCTGCCATGCTCTGGTATAGACGCCACTAGCTTTCTTCCAACCTACTCCTACACTACAAGACATAGCCCGTCAAGACAGCCGATGGTTGGGCATAAGTAACACATGTCCCAACCATCTCAAATAATGAAGTTTCAATACATCATTTGTCGATCTGTTATCCCTACTTAGTATTCGTTACCTAACGACTGCATTGCTTACTCGACTGTCTCAGGATACACGAGCAATGCTGCGAATACCAGTAACCAACGAATATTCTCTACTCTTACCGGCCATGTTTCGATTCCATAAAGGAAAACGGGGCGAACTGCTGCACAGTATACTCGTCCTTTAGTTATCAAACGGATATCTCGCCTACGCAGTAGGTGACGCAAGTTGGCAGAAGCCAATCGAGACTTCTGTATTCGTTCTGAGATTTCGTCAGTCACCAGGCCATCTAGCACTGATGGGACTCCCAAGATAAGTGAAGCGGTCAACATGCTCAACTGTTCATACTGCTACTAACTCTACCACTTTAGGGTTTGATTTGACAAATCGATTTCTGTGTTAGTGTGGTATGGTAACTTGAACTGATGTACGAACGTAAGAAGTTCTGCGTTGTAGCTAACTAACTGAGTGATAACCCCTGAGTACAACTGATGATTAATAATGAATATGGTTTTCCAACGAATAAATTTTACTATACCGGATTAGAGATCTAGTTACCGATTGGAATTTTATAGTTCAACTTATTTGGACTCAAACTGGGAGGAATCTGATTTTGAACGAGACTGCTCACAATCCTAACCATTATTTGTCGTAAATTTCAACCGTTCAAGTTTAATATTAATTAACTGGATTAATAGTCACATAATTTGAAGGAAATCTAGAATCATTTTTAATTGAAAAGTACTACTAACCGACAAGGAAGAATACGAATATTGTCCATTGCTTTAAAAGGTTCAATACATATTGCACACTGTTCATAGCTCGAAGTTATTTCCTGTAACAAAAATATGAAAATTAAAATAATTACCAGATTTGTTTTTTGTTTGGTGGTAAAGCTTTTTTAAAAGTATTATCAGGATCAAATAAGCATTTTACTTATTGAGTCATATGCACTAAACACCTATTAGATTCTGACCTTTGTTTAACAAAAGATACTATAAATGTTGAGTCAGTAAAAGATACAGTTATCGTGAAAAAATTAGACAAACACACTTCACAGTATCCTTGCAATAAAGTGACAAAATATGAAAGCGAAAAGAAATCTAGATGCAAAAAAATAAAGTCTATGCAATCAAACTGGAAAACTATAAATTAAAAATCAAAATCACTACCCGTAAGGTTATTGAGAAAACAAGATTATTATGCAAGAATAATAATAATGTTAATAACAAGAAGTGAAGTCGCACAAATAAGTTGATCAGAAACTAATATCTTCCGATAATTTAATAAAATACATTAACATATCATTATTCAGAGTCACAAACAAAACTTTCGCGTATACAGACCAACGAGACATGGGTAAAAATAAATAGATGATTTCTCAAGCTAATCATCATCATCATTTCTGTCTTGATGCACGATGCCGAAAACTGGACGTTATATGTGCCAACCCCCAAAATGGTTGCTTAAGCGAGAAGGTAGAGAGCAAAAAAGGTCTGCATGACTACCGGATACTATGAAAAAAAATACTCGAGTATATATATGTATTCACTTCCTTAGAAAAGCAAGCTATTTCTTAACCAATGATATGCATTAGTCTTTTGGAACATTTTCTTATCACCCAATGATCCTTTAAGTAGGTCACTTTGGATTGACTTAGCAAAATTTTCTTGAACTACTCTTGGTAAGAATTACAGTACTAGAAGCTAAATCGAGTATAAATGACAAACCATTTGCGAAAGTCTTTCCAAAATACCGCAGACATTTCTAGATGGAAAGTCCCAAATGTGAAAAAACGCATTTCGCGGATATCTCTGTTGGCCGTAAATCCACTTATTCCACAGAAATCATTGCTAACTTTAAAAATAACTAGATTGTTTACCAAATAAATTTATTCAAGGTAAAAACGGAGAGAAACAAGATGGAAATTTATTTTTCCACACTTCTTCCTTAATAAGTTTATTTTAATTACTTAGAATTGGCCAACCGGTTAAAACATGAAACTTAATACATTAGATAGAGATCCTAGCCATTTAACTGGTGGCACTTAACAATTCAATATGCACGTTTTTCAGGAACTTAATGGTATTGAAACGTTTAAGATGACATTAATCTGCATTCCTGATCTTCGCCACCGCTTCTTTACCGATTGTATACCTTTTCCAGAAGAGCGATCTACTGAACAAGATCATTATTGTAACAATGTAATGTGATAACTGACATCTTGATTTATATTTGCAAAAGATATGTGACTAGAAATGAGTACCACAAGTATCGAGTACGTAAGTTAAGCTGAACAAGTGAAGGCATAATAGGGAAAAATCTGTAGAACACAAAGGTGTAATTTCTGCATCCGGTAACCAATCGGCAATTTTACGAAATTTAATTTATCTGTAAGCCTTGTACCTCGGTTGTAGGGCTTCTAGAGAGTAGATTAAATTGTTGACCATCAACTGTATTAGTGTGAAATTATGAGTAAAGGGGACAAAAAGCTTTATCGTAAGCTGTCATACCAGTTGGTTAAAACCTAAAATTAATTTTTGGATATAATGCACTGTTGATTTAATGGCTAACGTACTGTACTACTCGGCTTTCAGTTACAGTCATCAATTTTAGCTCACTTCACGTGCTTTCGTTTAAACAGCCTAGAACTATTGATAGCTCTCATGTGAAAAAATGTTGCTCAATACCGATAGAATAAAATGTACTTGGTTACTGAGCTGTTTGCATAAACAGGTATGTATTACTCAAGGAGTTCACAAACCAATATTTAACAATTTGTTATACGTTAGTGTAAGAAAGGGAACCGAAAACTTTGAATCTACATAAAACGCTTATTGTAAGGATGCAAGTAAAAATTGTAAAATAAAATTACCCAATCTCCAGAATGTAAGGTTTTGATAGGTATACGTGCGACAGCTTTTTTAGCCAATTCCGTAAGTCTTCTCTGAAATGTTAGAAAACAAAATTTTACAAAGCATGAATAGTTAGGTTTAACTAACTAATACATTACCAATTAGGAAAAGGAATTTGTGGAGATTAGTTGTAATTAAAAATAACTCTTATCACATACATGAGCTGGAAACTATAAAACATGTTACACGATCAGGAGATATTGTGCGTGTGGCCGTTTGGGTAGTTCCTGATTGGGACAAAACATACATTCACCATTGCTGGGTTGCCAAAGGTTTATTAATCGATGTCAGTTTTTAAAAAATATATCCAAGTGTCACTACAACTAGATAAGAAGCTTGGATTATATTTACCACTCATACTAGCAAGAACCTGGATGTTTTTTCAGAAAAAATAGACAAAAAAAACCGAAAACTTAACTACTTATTACTACCTATGAATATATTCCATTTTCATTACTTATTACTAACCCGGTTGTAGTTTCTGCCTTCACCTAGATATCCGATTTATCTATTATGACGACCTAACTGAGCTTTGGTGGCTGAGAAATGCGTTCCTTGGAATTCTGCAGTGGCAGAAAGACCAGTTGAATAGCAGTGAGCAGCAGCATAAAGGGCTGAGAGATTGTACGATCAAATGTACCAGTGTGGGGTGGAAGAAGGATGCTTTTCGTGTATAACTATTTCAGGTACCGATGAAACCCAATCTTGAAGCAACATTTTGAATTTCGGAGGGGGAACCTCATCCCGAATATACTTGCATTGTTGCTTAGGGTGGTCAGAGGACTCCGCATTTTGTCAGCATCTTCACCGAATAGAACTATGTCATCGGCATATTTTAGGTCAATAAGAGAGTCTCCTGGTAGAAGGTCTACTCCTGAAACTTCAGACGAGGATAAGTTTATATCTAGCAGCATATCCATTACAAAATTAAACAAGACAGGAGAGAGTGGTCAGCCCTGCCGGATAGTCACTTGAAGTAGAGAATTACGATGACAGTTCGCCATAGGCTCTCACTCAACCAGTAGTCTTCGAGTAGAGGGCTTGTTTAAGGTTAATGTACTTCTTTGGTACACCTTTCAATGACAGACACTGCCAGAGAACCTCACCATCCAGAGACAAATGCCACCTTAAGGTCCAGGAAGACAACTTTTGTCGGATGCCTAAATGCGTGTTTGTGTTCCAGGACCTGTCGTACAGTGAAAATATGGTCCGTACATCCACGTCCATGTCTGAAACCAAACTGGTTTTCTATAGTTTGCTCTTCTTGAGCTCTGGTAGGCGCTTAAGTATTATCGAGGCTAACATTTTAGACACTATATTGGTTAGACTGATTCCTTTGTGATTGTCACAAGAGGACGTTTGTTGGGTCCAGCGTTGGGAGTCGTCAGGCCAAAATATGTTTTTCCATGTGCTTAAAGTATTTGCTAGAAACCCCGACCGGAGCTGCTACCTTGAAATGGTGGTCGGACTTGCCTATCGTGATGAACCAACCGAGCTATATTGGCTGGAACATATGTTCCTGAAGGATCTAACATGCAAGTCAGGTCGATTGGAAAACGATGAGACTAAAACCAGCTACTCAAGGTCTGAGGGCGAAGTCGTACTGCTGACTGTAGAGGGGTGTGACAGCAATAAGGTGTTCCCCTTGGACAACTAGCATCTGCAGCGATGCTGCCTTCACACAGGGAAGGAAGGGTTAGGAAAGGTCGACCCTAAAAATGTCACAACTCACCTTACCTCACTGACTTCCGTCTTCGGCAGTAAAGCCTCTTGAAAAGCACAGCTAACACGTTAAAAACATCCCATAGAGAGGTCGTGCATGCTTCTCGTCCACTTACTGGTGTAGGTTTAGCACGGATTTCCGTCTCCGGCAGTAAGGGTGCCCACTATGGGCTTTCAAGAGCGGAGCTAATACTCAAAAAACCCTTCATGAAAAGGCCGTGTGTGACCGACCGCAAGCAGTTGTCCCTCGGGCTCTGAGGTCACGCTCCCAGGTCGTTAAGACCAACGCTAATTTACCTTCGGTCGGTCACGCACGGCCTTTTTGAGGTTTTAAGACATTTGCTCCACTCTTCAAGTGGTCTTACCGTCGGAGACGGAAATCCATGTAATAACGTGAAATGTGGCATTTTCAGGGTCTACCATTTCTAACCCTTTCCTTCCTTCCTTATGAGAAGGCGGCATTGCTGCAGATGCTGGTTGTCCGACGGAAACACCTTACTGCTGTCACACCCATCTACAGTCAGCGATACGAATTCACCCTCAGACCTTGAGTAGCTGATTTTAGTCTCACCGTTCTCCAAATGACCTGCCTGGCATGGTAGAACCTTCAGGAACATATGTTCCAGTTAATGTAGCTCAGTTGTGTTATCACGATCGCTAAGCCCGACCACCATTTCAAGGTAGCAGCTACGGTCGGGACAGAGATATATGGAGATTAAATCAGTGATTTGTTGGCAGTTTAAAAAAGCAAAATAACAAAATATTGGGTTTTCGTTATCAATACCACGTCAAAAATTGTTCATAAAAGCATTCTTTGCAACCTAACACCATAAGCGACTCGACAATAATTTGAAGAAAAAACTTACAGAAACTCGTTCTTTGCTGTGTAAGTATCGGAACCGCTGGACATAATAGAATACAAGCCATGCCAAGCTGATCACCATAAGAAGGATGAATGAAACAGCCACAAACAAAACAGAAGAACGATTAAGAAAAGCTTCTTCGGATGCTGTTGCAGCAGTTACAACTTCAAACAAAATTTTTTCTTCTGACTTTTGTGAAATGATGGTTTTATTGGGTTGGTTAGATATTATTCCAGTACGGTGTTCATAATTCGACAATCCTGTGGTATCCAAGGAATTCCCAATTGAAACCAGATTGTCACCTGACTTATAAAACTCTTTCAGTTCATACGATACATTGGTCAAATCAGTAGTGTTGAGTCCGTCAAAATTCGAAAAGTTCAACTCGGCAGAACGATGCACTCGAAAATAAAGTTCTTTATCACGCGATAAAGCAAGTTGGTCATCAAATGGCAGACCAGAAATAACTGACAATGTTGATAAATGTGAATGAAAGACACTTGGGAAAATTGTGAACAGGGACAAACGAGGCATGGAAATTCACAAAATAAACTAGACCATCAATAATTGGTCAAGTCCATGAAAAGTAGATATCACTAGAAATATCTATATGAAGAAAAAATAGAAAATGAAGACAGTTTACAGACATTCACAACTAGAGAGCGATTCTTGTGAATCATAATGTAATACGTCACTTAGATATGAAATACGTGCAACATTTACCTTAAGTTAAACGAACACAAGAAAATAACTGGGAATTTATTCTTTGAAAAAGTCAGGTAACGTCAGAAAAATTTTAACTTTTCAACTTATTGCGATACTACAAATACATTATTATTATCAATAATCCACTCAATGTTTAATTTATTTGAAATCATCAAGTCGAACCTAGGTAATGACACTTATAGGAATTTTAAATGTTTTATCTGTTATAACTACGTATTGTGTAACATGATGTTTAATACCAATAAATATACTCATTGTTACAAGACACTATCAATCAAATCCGCGGAAACGAAAACGAAACAGTGAAAATCGAAGACAGATTTGGAATGAGAAAAACTAAACACTCATATTAGTTCTAACTAAGTATCTACATTGTGAAATTTCGTCAGCGACCAGTTTAGTAGGACTCATGGACTCGTCTACACGTTTTAGATGTTCAATTAAACCACACGTTCCTTTAAAAATAATAATGGTGAAGGTTCAGTCGTAAAACATCAGTTAAAATTAGATGGACGTAATGTAGTCTGAACATCTTAAAACGTAGATAACGCGGTGTGGGACATAACATATAACAGCTTGAGTAAACTACTGGAAAGTAATACAGAGTTAAAATTAATTATTTTAAGTTCTAAGTTTGAAGAACTGACAAGGGATAACCTCCTATACGGAACTACATGTTCTGAATAATTATTACTTGAAACTTCGGTTGCATACATGTGTCATGAGTACATGTTGAACTTAGAAGCCTTTCAAACAGAACACAAAGATCCGACAACCCATTCTAATCTTCCGACTTTCAGATAAATGTTATCACTCATGGAAAAGCTCCAATAAAACGTTTCGTGTGCTGTTACTGGCCGCCCACACTGTGGAATGGTGTTTCCTGAGGAACTTGAAAAAGTCGGATCAGGAACTTTAAAGTAGGCACGTCGTCATTTTAAAGACACTCGAAAAATTATTTAACAATCTAGCGATCTCATCAGAAGGACTTATCTTTCACGAGAAACCGACTGAGTATGCAATTTTAATGAAAATTATCAACTTGAGCTCTGAAATAGCAACGTCAAATATTGCGGAAATCCGAAGTAGTAATTAACTTTAATTGTATTAACCAATGCACATGATTTATGCAAGATGTCTGAGATAATTCAAGGGTTTCCCCAATGTCAGTAAGACTTCGGGTGAAGAACTTCAGATCGGTAGTTATTTTCGGGGTTTTGAAAACATTGTCCCAAAATTCGTTATTGTGGCTTCCCTAAAACCATCAAATTTTCCCTGAAGCTTAAAGATCAGGATAGTTCAATCTTAGGTGCGCTGAATCAAAAGACTATTGTTTGAGGGAAAACGATGAGAACAAACAAGACTCACTAACTCGTGCCACTCATAAAATGTCCCACTAGTAAGTCATTATAACTTATCAACAGCCACAGCTATTAACAGATTTATGTAGTCATAACTGAATAACGAATCACGATATTTATTCCAGAAATATGTCTTTTACCACAAAAGGACTACCTGAAAGGTCACACTCCAACAAACTTAAATCTACATAACTACAAAGAGCTGCGTTTTCCGTTGACTTTGGTAGATTCAAACCTACTACAGGCCCAACTCGGCAGAACAGAGAGAGTACACTCTCACAGCTTTTGGCGACTATGAATGTCTACATTTTCGGCCGATTGAGACATTAGGACGTAAAACTTATTATTTCACCCGCCTAAACGAAAGGTATAGGCTGTTGGTGAGAATTCCGCCTGTATTTACCGAAATCTTGCCTTTATTTTCTAATTTTGGTTTAGTTGGTTGTCGTTTGACGTATAGTACAAAACTGCAGAGGAAGTTTATGAAGATAGGAATCTGACGAGTAACGATAAAAAATTTGCTTACGTTTGGTTATTTGGGTAATCGATGACAATTAGCCATAATACAAACGTTGAATTGATACATCCCGAGGGACGAAACAGGATTTGATAAGGTTCCGACGAAATTTAAAAGTATCCCTAAGAAATGACAGAGACTGACCTTGGAAACCTTCAAACCTTAATTTACATAATTTGTTCGGTAGAGTTACCAAACTTTTAGTTCGTTTGAATCTAAAGTTATAATACGTATCTCTATATCTTATTAAATGGAAGTGATAAATTGTTAGATATTGTTATACAGAGTGAATGAGGAACGGCATCTTGAGTAATCTTCCACAGTACCATCAGCAGACTGCAGTTCAAGCCATCTACTGAGGATGCAGAAAAATGATTTATGTCCCCCGCGAATGAATCTTCTGGTTTTGAGACCATTACCACAAAATATTCCCACAAATTTTTGAGCACGTTAATTCGTGGTTTGCTGTTATCCGATGCAAATATATGAGCTTTGCTCAATGGCCAGGACCATAGTGCTTGTTTTGACCATGATATGAACTATTACTTCTAACACTGAGAAGTTTATGAATCTCTATGCAGATAAACAAATTAAGAACGTTAGAACATTTCACACGACTTATATCATCGACCTAAATTTAAGCAGAAAATGCATCTTGTAGTGAAAAAAAAACTATAAAGTACGAACTCATACGACCCTTACCACTTGGTCGTTGGTAATTTAAACTTCTTACCCTTACGCATTTTGGACCGACACTGTTCCTGGGTTACTGCAATCATTTCTCTTTGATGGTAGCAAAAAGTGTTATCGTAAGTAGCAGCTATGCCGTTCGGGGAAAGTATTGTTATGGTATATACTGTTGATTTCTGTCTCTGTCATTACTTAGAAGCAGTGTTCAGACAAGATTGTTTCCACTATTACTAAGAAACTAGGTAGTTTCCAAGACCAAGAGGTTAAAGACATTTACGAGATTCGGGAGCGAAATTACGTCTGCATAGCTTTTTCAATCGCTTCAGTGAACGCTCAGGTGGCCTTTAAAATAGAAGCTCTGATCACCGAGGCCTTGACAATCAGAGAAGGTCGGACTGATTTTACAAGAATAAAATATGTGAGTCACAACCCCATTATCCTTAGGACATAATCCTCTTTTGCGAAACAGCTGGTAACTAAAAACCTCATCAAAGGGCATATAACTATTCGGCCAGGGTTACCAGAGGACTTTTAGACTACTAGATATATAGACCTAAGACAATATGGTCGATGGTAAATCATATGACTACCTAACTTGCATTGCCTAAGCCAAAGCCTAAGTATTATCTTGCTTGACTAAACCTATGCGACAGTTACGATATTGTTTCACAAGATTCTGTTCGTAAGGTTGCTCTGAAGGATGAATTTTCAAGATAAGAATAATCCACTGAAACTCTTCTGGTGATCAATATTCCAATGTTCTGCTTTCCATATAGATATCCTAAGATAGCGTGAATCCTGCTAGAAGGATCATATAGCTACTTATCAGTAGTTCATTTGTAAGTGCAATCTTAAAACCAGTGAAATATTCTGCTAGTCTATCACAATTTAGGCGACCAGAAGAGGCCGTTGTTGTAGAAACTATCTGCAAATGCATGTAATGATGTATGTGAAATCTCTCCATGTATGTTTCTCTCTTTGATTGTGGCCTTTTCTTGTTTCATCTTATGCCATTTTTCCTTCGTCACCAATTATACCAATGAATATTTTGTTTCGCATTTTCTTTTGTCTACATGTTTCAAGTAATATTGCGATTTCAACAGTTTAGTGTCTTTAGTGGCTGTCCTAGTTACTGACTCCGTCCGAATAAATTGTATGATGCTCTCCCTGGTGAAACAACCATTTGGCTTTTCGGTTAGTAGAAAAGCTCATTGTTTTAAATGGCCAAACACACATTTTAGAGCTCTTTCATAAATGGTATTTGCCTTTTTTGTACAGCACGTTTACAACTAGTTGCAACTAGCCCCTTTTGACTTGAAAGTACTGATTCGAGGGTTGTTGTAATAATCATATACTATTTAATAATTTGCAATATGTGAACTAGCATGTTGAGCCCACATGGCTTGTCTTAGCTTTCAGACAAACTAACTAACCTTTTCGCACTAGTCATTATTCACATAACTTTCGACCCAGTCAGTCGTTCGCTTATAACCTTGGTTGTTCTAATTTTGATGTGCGCCACTTACTTCGCTTACTACATTACTAGCCTATTTGTCCGACTAGTTACACTTAGTCATACTTCGTCGCAGTGAGTTGGCTCACTCGACTTCTCCATTTCGTTTCGCTTTGCTTGTATGCTTTGTGTGCTCATGTCTGTCGGTGTGAATGATTGCATGAAATAAATTCATCCACAACACCATGTTTGGTTTCTGATTACCGCATTCGCACAAATGGTATTCACCTTAGTGTGAGTGAACTAGCAGCTAACTGACTTTTCTAAGCGACTGTTCTGTGCAGGCGATCTATGAAATTTTCAGACACATTCACCAAAGTTCTAATTTTTAAACTTACTTCGATAGTCATATATATACATTCAAAAACCAGATATTAAAAATAATCTTATTAATTGATTGGTTAATAAGCAGTAGGAATGTCTAACATTAGGTACGGAATCAAGTAACGAAGTGGGTGATGGTATTAGGAAACCATGACAGACTCCAGCAATAAGGAATGTTGTCGCTGGATCAAGGGAGAATACGGGGTATTCGAACAATGATTTATAATGTACTGAGTAAGCCGATTAGGTCAAATGCAGACTACTTGCATCAATCACACAACCAAATTTTGCACTGAGAGCCTCGAAATATCACCTGTCAGATAACAAAAATCCTAACTCAATGCGGAAGTTTCCCCATAAAGAATCTCATCACTTTAAAGTGATCTTCAACAGGAAGTTAACACACCCTTCTCATTGGAGAGCTCATAGCAGATGCTTGATAACCACACACTTGTCAGTGGACTATCATCTTCTGTTTCGTTGTTTTTGCTACTAACTATTGTATTCAATACTGTATGTTTATTGCAATATAGTATTCCCACAAAAAATTGTCTCTACAAGTTTCCTATACAAAAATAGAATAACCAATATACCGCACACATACGTTTAAAAAAGGAAACCAAGGTTCTATAATTGAATGAGACGCTTTCAAAAAGATAAGAGTTGATGCAATTGTTAACTAGCAACATGCTCACGAATACGAGTTAGTTATCTAGCCACTAGTAAATCTGTGAGAACAGAAGTACAGTCTATAAATATGCTTTAACTTTACTTATTTGCTTTCAAACTGGACACTATGTTATGGTGCTAAGCAACAGCGGCACTTAAGGTACTTCCACTTAGTTTGTAAGCTAAATAATATGAGTCAGCGATCTCCATGAATGGAACATCAAGCAGGATTATCAATTATTTCGGAGAAAAGTAAAGCTCTAGCTGTAGGTCTAAATCTCCAATTTTTATCACCATATACTTTCTTCGCTATCGGGATTACCTGAGCTTTGTCGCGTTTCATATTAAGCTGTTAAGAATATCTGACTAGATAGTCAGTCAAAATTTACAAAAATGTTTCTATGAGTCAACGAATATCAAAGTAGAAGTTAAAATATCAAATAAAACTAAAGGTGTTTCCCAATAATTCATTTGTCAATCACTTCCCAGTCCGTAGTAAGAAAAACATATTTCCTTCTGAGTTACTTCTGTATTTGAGTATTTCAGTGCAAGACTGTACCCTTTTCAAGCCTGGAATGTACTCTGAATAAAACATGGATAATTCGATTATCATATCTAGACAATGAAATTTGTTAACCAGTCACCTATTTTCCAACTTCATAGGTGGAAATAAGGCACAAGTGCTGATCCGAGATGGTGAAAAAGCGACTGCTTTTTGGTGGCCTGGTGATAAAAAAAGCTATTATCACATGAAACGAAATGGTTTTCTATAAACAATATTAAACAATTGAAGGTAGTAAACGCAAATTCAGTAAATCGACCAACGACAACAGATTAATTATTTAGTTGTGAAATCTTCTTATTACAATTTTCTCCCTACTATTCTCCACATTGAAACTAACTGATCTCCGGTGTGGTAACATGACAGCCACTGGTATCCAGAGACCCTTCTTTACTGAAACATAATCATTCAAATCACTGGACATACAAACTCACAAACAACTGCCAACTGACAAGATTTAGTTCAGTCCAGTGGATGGGCTCACTTCCACTGGACATTACCAAATACCTGGACCTAGCGAAAGCACAAGAATCAAGCGCGAAGAAATAAACCGGCTAAAACTAGCTCGTGAGAAGGATATTCGATATTGGATCTGGCACAATCTTCAATTTATACCCGCTACAATCCAACGTTATGGTGTAACTGGACCTTAGTGTTCCGTTACACTTATTTTTTTAACTAATACAAGTTCATTTGGTAAGTTCAAAAAATATGTTACGATTAATACGGACAGTTTAAAAGCATAGCGTATAACTCACAACTTTGTTGTTACGACAAGTTCTTCACCCACCTTTAACGATGATATTTTTCGATTAGTTTTACATTTAATTTGTTACCTCAAACAATCAACTCTAGTCTATGCTATATAAAAGACCTATTACTTTTGAAGATTCACACAAGGTCTCGATAAAAGCCATTTTAGTGAATAACTTTAACACAAAATCTTCGGTGATAAAATGTCCCGATATAATTTTCCTTTCTGATTTCAAGTTAATAACACTTTTATAAATGAGTCTTTCGCTCGTGTGATGTCACATGTTCTCCACGTCAAATTTCCTGAATTTTTGTATCAATAGCCATCCTTTGTGTGGTGAAACGTGTTGTGTCAGGTATTATGAACTATCAATATTGCGGTCAGTGAATCTGTTTGAGTTATTTATGAATAGACATACTCAAAATCTTGTGAACAAAGTGCCGTGTCGTCATAAACTGACTACCCACCCCACACTATTATACCACGTACTATGAAGCAAACGTTTTTCCTGGAATATTATTGCTAATGATTTCATTTGTAATGTTTATAATATATGAATCCAAGACAAACCTGTTAAAATATTCTGTTGGTCATTTCGATGAACACATAGCTGGCTGAATTATAATCAAGATGCTTACTAGAATTTATGGTGCACTAAGTATATTAATGATAGTATGAATAGATGTGTCAGGTCATACTATAATTGAGATAGTGCTAAATAAAGGGTTCAGTTATATCAAAACTAAAACTGCGACATTTTGTTGTTTAAAAACGTTTATTTTACCTTTGTAAAGAATATTGTTGAAAACTACATTGATATCATTACTGGCTCCTATTCTGATCTACGTCTGTCTACACTTGAACTCACCAAACTGAGTGACCCCTGGGACATCAACCAGCAAAGTTATGATAGAAAGAAAGATCCCAGTTCTACACAACCATATTGCTGCTACATCTACCACTAAGAGATTTGAAATGACGATTCAATCTCTGTGCTAATATGGTTTGGTAACTTTAACTGATGTACTTACGTACAAAGTTGTACATCGTTGCTGAGTGACGGACGTCATATCATAAATGGACCATCTTTCCGCTTTTACTCTCCAGTATCTGAGTAAGAAATTAATCCAGGGTGTTAGACCGATTGAAACGACATTAGTAGGAGTAGGTTGGAAAAAAAGTAGAGGCTGACCAAACCAAAACGTGGTGTCTATCTGAATTCATCGGTGGTTCTAAGCCATGCAGGTAGATGCAGACCACCTGGTAAGTATGTGATAACCTCAATCACCTGTGGGAGACCTGGTGATAAGGTTGAGATTCATTCTCAATAGAGCAGTTTTCATGGTGATCTTCAATTCCAGTATTCCTTCATATATACACCCATCTACTCGATCCTTTTAAAACACTTTATTTTTTCCTCATTGCTGCTACATTATTTCGACCTGTTATTTTCATCTCATGCTAATCTGGTATACAACCTGGGCCAAGTACATCTGTCCCAGGCTCTATGCTGATGATTTTTGTCTGTCATTCCAACAAATGGAAGGATGCCATGATATCAATCAGAAACCATAACTACTGTTGACTTTTGATATTTGTGGCACTGCTTCATGATTTGGTGAAGACGTGGTCGGCACACCCTGTAACTGAGATAAAAGGTCTGTTCTCCCCAAGTTAGCCTTTTCACAATCTGAGAAGTATAATGGAAACTAATAGTTCAGATTCAGTAAAAATTACATCCATACCTTGATAATCGTCACAGAACTTATTAGTTCATTATTTACAGTCTCCTCTGTTCATAGCTGATGGCTTGCTCATGTATGAATGTATTTTCTCATTGTATGGTGTGATGTAGTCTCGCATGTCTGGTATGTAAACTGTCTACGTGAAATGTTAAGAATTTTGTGGAGGCTGGAGACGGGATTTTGGACTAAGAGGTAGAGTAGAAAGAGTAAAGCTATCGAGTTCTAGATCGGTAAGTGTTTAAAGCTGACTCACGGTTTCTGGTGTTATGACGTAGTTCTGATTGAGATTTTGTGTTTGTCACGTAATATTAGTCAGTGGTTAGAAATGCAAGACGATCTTAAACTACCTTTCTGCATTTGAAGCAGTAATGTTGTTGATAAACTCATTTTCTCTATCCACTTAAGGCAATTATTCTCCGATGCCTATATAAGACGGTGTACAGAACACAAACAAATATACTTCGGTTGGAACTCTGCTTTTTCCATCTAGCTATAACAAGTGGGGCATTTGGTATCGGCCCAATTATTGAACGTTAGTAATTCAGCTAGTTCACTACTTTGCTCTGAGAACTACCTCAATGTGACCTGCCTGTGCGGAAAATGTATGAAAGTATTCAAAGAGAGGAGTTGTTTGCTATTTGTTCAATTTTCCCGGATTTGATAACTTCCGTCCATGGGATCAAGAAATTGCAGGTATTGTGTTTTTAAGCTCTTTACATTATGTAGATACCTGTTAATTCGGTCCGCGATCTCGATAAAGCAAATTTTCCTGTACAAGTCAGTTTAAAGATCAGTTCAATCATACGTCCAAGTGGCTTAAGGAAAGTAGTGATCATCCGCTTGTCTTGCAGTCCTACATATCCAGAAACGTAAGTAGTAGCCTATGGTTTGTAAAACTTTTAGATTTAAGAAAGTTTCTACAAATAATCGTTTTCTTGGTAAAGGATTTCAATCATAAATATGGTCGTTACCCCACTATTGGCAGATTTATGTAGTAGTAATTCGAAGTAGTTTAACTCTTGAGATGTGAACAATGCAGTTGTGGTCTTGTCTTCAATATATTTTCAAGCCCTATACAGAATTTAGTTTTATCTCTCTCCGTTGACATAAATTACTCATTGAAAATTGCAAATGTTGCAGGGAACCTGACCTCGTCAACTGCAATTTCGATTTGTTGATATCTTTTTTTATGCTTAAAAAATATATATTGGTTACTTCTCCGTGCAAATTTAGTGTTACGATATAAATTACATCATAAATTCATGATAAAACTACCATAATTCCGTGACATTGAACTGTAATATAAGGGAGCTTGTGACGAGATCTATTTCCTTACTTTAACCGTCATATAATTTGATATCCTTCCTGACGACTTTTTAAGATCTAAGTACATAGTTCTGTTAGCTAAATTTCTGAAAACTCGAAGCACATTTCCTAGAGCATATGGCGAACTGTCATAGGAATTCTCTACTTCAAGTGGTGTATGTCAAGGATGTCCACTTTCTCCTTTCGTGTTTAACTTTGTCGTAGACATGCTTTTAGAGATAAAGTTATTTTCGTCTGACTTTTCAGGAGTAGACTTTATACTAGGAGACTCGCTTGTTGACTTAGAATATGCCGATGACATAGTTCTACTTGGTGAAGATGCTGACAAAATACAGTCTTCTGATCACCCTAAGCAACAATGCAAACATGTTCAGGAGACGGTTCTCCCAGTCGAAATGCGAAATGTTGCTCAAGGATTGGGTATCATCGGCACCTAAACTAGTGATAGGGGGTGAAGTAGTTGAGCGTGTTGACCGCTAAACTTATCTGCGGAGTCTCATCAATGCTGATGTCCTGGTGATTGACGAAATTTCAGCACGGATGCAGAAGTCTCGTTTGGCTTCCGCCAACTTGCGTCACTTACTGCGTAGGCGAGATATCCGTTTGATAACTAAAGGACGAGTATACTGTGCAGCAGTTCGCTCCGTTCTCCTTTATGGATGCGAAGCATGGCCAATCAGAGTAGAGGATATTCGTAGGTTACTGGTATTCGATTATAGATGTCTTCAAAGCATTGCTCATGTATCGTGGGACAATCGAGTAAGCACTGCAGTCGTTAGGAAACGAGTACTAGGTAGGGATAACAGATCGATAAATGATGTATAGAAACTTCATCAGTTCAGATAGTTGAGACATGTGTTACTTATGCCCAACCACTTACTGTCTCGTCGAGCTATGTTTTGCGATGTACGAATAGGTCTGAAGAATGGTAGGGGTGGCCAAACACAAACATGGCAGAAATCCATGAAGTCACTGACAAGTGGATTGAGTCATGTTGGTGAGTGAAGGCAACGTTGTTTGGGTCCCCGAGACGATGATAATCGGTGATTAGAGACCTTGACTGATATGGCCCAATATCTTTAGCAAAGGTGCAGGTGCATCCACTCTTTGTGTTCTCTCAAATTCTAATCTGAATTCCTCATAAAATTTATCTTCCTATTTTAAGTTTTTCTTGAATTATACTTCTTGAATAATAACAATGGTGTTGGCAGATGAAAAGCGTAATGTTAAACCCTGATGTTCACTTTGTAAGTGGATGATAGTATTTCGAGAAATGTTGGTTACCGACTGAAAACATTTTGATACTTTCACGCTCTGTCTGTTTGACTTCATCCCCATACCTTAAGTTCTCTGTCGTAAATCTGTGTGGCTTCTAAGGATCTCAATGATCAGATTCTCTAGCCGACATACCTCGATTTAGCAATAGATGAAATCGGCTACCTCGTTGAACTTGGATGTAGTGGTGAAACATATTAAGGATTTGAGATAAATTTCTATTTCTTACTATATGTAGCTGTAAACTGTAAACAGCTCATAATACACTACACTTTCCCAAAATACTGCTTCTACTATATGAAGCTGCTTTTTATAGTAAGAGTAGTGTTTCCAATTTATCAATAATCAGTTTATGTTATTAGCTTTTAGTTTTTTTCTAATGTTATTTGTATAATTTGGAACTCATAATTTATCTCCCTGCTGAAAGAAGCTAATATTTTCTATCCCTTTACAGAATTCTCAACTTTCGTATCAAAGGAGACAAACGAGTCACTAAAACACAAATAAGTGCTCTTCACGATATTCTTCAGCAATTGGTTGAAACAATGAGAGGCCAGGTAATCTGTTATGAATGTGAAACTTTTGTCACTTATTTGTAACTAACTTAGTTTGAATTAGAACTGTTTATTACCAAATGGTTTTTGCATTCGTCCCGAGACACTCGTCTCATGTAGCGTTAATTATTTTACCTAAACCTCTCACTTTTAGCCACTGTTTGTGCTAACTCACAATCCTGTACGAAGTTGCTAGTAACTTGAGTAGACAAACATGCATAGACATAATTACTTTAAATTTAATACCTCCCTGCCATTAGTTTCGGACAGTATTTTCGTTTGTTCCCTTTTGTTGTTGTTATGAAATGGGTGCTAGGTGGGGATGGCAAGTCAATAGATGAAGTAGTAAAACTTCATCAGTTAAGGTGGTTGGAACATGGGTTATGTATGCCTAAGCACCGACTGCGTCGCCGAGCTGTTTTGCGATGTTGGAATAGGTTGAAAGAAAGCTAGGGGCGTCCAGACCAAAACATGGAAGAAATCCATGAATTCAATGACAAGTGGATTGAGTCATGTCGGTAGGTATCGACTACCTGTTTGGGGTCCGCGAGACGATAGTAATCGATGGTTAGAGACCCTGAATGACATGGCTCTAAACCGGTTGTGTTCTCTCAAATCATCAAATTCTTAATTCCTCATCACTTGATCTTTTTAAGTTTATTTCACTAGATTCTACTTCTTGAATAATATCTTTGAACCCTTAAATTTCCGATTACTGCTAATACCTTTACCACCCCTACTACTGTGAGATTTGAATTCACAATTACATCTCTGTGGTAATGTGGTATGGCAACTTGAACTGATGTACGTGTGTACAAAGTTCTACGTTGCTGTTGATTGACTGATTATCTTTCGCCACTATCGCTTCACTCCTTGCACTACATATCCACCATCCAATAACTTCAAACAAGTCTGTGCTTGCTTATGAAGTTTTTACAGAAGAAGGACTGCTTTAAGATGAATTAAGTTAATTGTGTTGTTAATACGTGTTACATAGATGATATAGTATTATGTATTAAGTCACTGTTAGCAAGCAAGACTGACCAATAATTCATAACACCTCTAATCGGCGCGTGGTGATAAAGGAACGTGAGAATGTTTGGTCATGGAGGTAATAGGGTTATTAAAAAATATAGAAGGGATTTGATTGTGCTATTATGAGTGTGAGGGTGGATGTCACTTCCCGCCTTCCCACACCGTGAAAGTGTGTTTTCTGAAGAACTTGAAAGAGAATTTGGATTAGTGTTGGTCTTAGAGACCTGTGAGCGTGACCGCAGAGCTTGAGGGACAACTGCTTGAGGTCGGTCACGCACGGCCTTTTTGAGGTTTTAAGACATTTGCTCCACTCTTCAAGTGGTCTTACCGTCGGAGACGGAAATCCATGTAATAACGTGAAATGTGGCATTTTCAGGGTCTACCATTTCTAACCCTTTCCTTCCTTCCTTATGAGAAGGCGGCATTGCTGCAGATGCTGGTTGTCCGACGGAAACACCTTACTGCTGTCACACCCATCTACAGTCAGCGATACGAATTCACCCTCAGACCTTGAGTAGCTGATTTTAGTCTCACCGTTCTCCAAATGACCTGCCTGGCATGGTAGAACCTTCAGGAACATATGTTCCAGTTAATGTAGCTCAGTTGTGTTATCACGATCGCTAAGCCCGACCACCATTTCAAGGTAGCAGCTACGGTCGGGACAGAGATATATGGAGATTAAATCAGTGATTTGTTGGCAGTTTAAAAAAGCAAAATAACAAAATATTGGGTTTTCGTTATCAATACCACGTCAAAAATTGTTCATAAAAGCATTCTTTGCAACCTAACACCATAAGCGACTCGACAATAATTTGAAGAAAAAACTTACAGAAACTCGTTCTTTGCTGTGTAAGTATCGGAACCGCTGGACATAATAGAATACAAGCCATGCCAAGCTGATCACCATAAGAAGGATGAATGAAACAGCCACAAACAAAACAGAAGAACGATTAAGAAAAGCTTCTTCGGATGCTGTTGCTGATTTTAGTCTCACTGTTCTCCAAATGACCTGCCTGGCATGGTAGAACCTTTAGGAACATATGTTCCAGTTAATCTAGCTCAGTTGTGTTATCACGATCGGTAAGCCCGACGACCATTTCAAGGTAGCGGCTACAGTTGGGATAATGTCTCTAATACTATCCTATTGTCATAGATCTTTTTATCCACGTTTACTGAGCATGGTAAGCAAAATCACTGACTATTCAATCGTTCTGATGAAATTCCTTCGATATTGTAATTTTATTCACTTAAAGGGTTAGTCACTGACATCCCCTAGCTTTTAGTATTTTGGACATATAATTCGTAAAAGGATTGACCACCTTAGGCAAACAACATGTGTACCTCAACTTTAAGAATCCAATTTCATGATGTAGTATATCGATATTAGTAACCATCAAAGTTTAGAGACTTGCTGTTTCTTTTACGTAGTTCCTTATATCTACAAAATATGCTTCTCTCCTAACTTGGAACTTGTGTAACGTATGAATGTTAATCCTGCACCTAATTACTTATTGCCGAACTCATTATTTTATTTAAGTGTAATTGAGTGTTGATTCTCTTTCATGACTTTTACAGTATGGTATGAGAAGTCCCATTTGACGTACCTGGGGTTTCCTAAAACCTTAAAAAAGCTAGCTCCTAGTTTTCTTCTCCAAAGAAATGCTGATGGTTTGAGATGATCTAAACAGCTTTCTTCTGGAAACAATATTTTGAAACATTGACTATTTGTAAATATGACCACTAGGTTTTGCTTGGATGGTTCAGTAGTAATATAATGCATATGAAACTCAAACGTCTTGAGTTCTATGCAGGGTATAAGTTTGCGAATGTACGTTGCTAGCGAGCCCAAAATTAAAACGAAGTAGGCTGTCTACTGTCTCATAGTTTTTAGTAGTTTTTCTGTTTAATTTGCTTTGTGATATGAGCATCATAAAGTCTTTATAACAAGTAAAATTATACTGTCTAGTTATGCTTCAAAACAGTAACTCAATTACTTCTACCTTTTATTTTTCTAAAATAATTACTAGATATGCATGAAAGAGCTGATTGAGGCTACTCACGACTTCCTAAAGTCATTGTCGACAACCGTCATTGATTCTCAAACACTAAGAAATGAACAAGATCTCAATTTAAGAAGTGATGATAATCTAGTACCTAAGTTAAGAATGACAAAAAAAGAGGTGAGTTTTTTTGTTAAAGCATAAATCTGTTTGTGTATTTAGAGCTTTTAAAATTTTTACTTTCATAATTATTAGGATGTGACTATGTACATCCATAAAAAGTTATTGTTATCTATCCGATCGAGAATTAAATTTCTAATCCCCTATGATCAGTCTTATATGGAATGATGATAGAGTAAAGTATTCTTACTCATGATGCGAGCGCACTTTTACTTTTACGATGACCAAAACTAACACAAAAGGGATTCACCAAATGCCATGCCTCCATTAAGAACTTTCTTAGGTGTCAGTCAATACAACAAATTCTTCCCCGAAATGTTTTTTGTTAGATTTACTTTGTGAAATAATGCTCGTATTTCTTTACGCTAAATTGCTTAGGATTAATAATGAATGATTTACATGTGTATATCAGTAACTTACTATACACTGGATACACTGCCAGCTCAAGTAATTGCAAAGGTAGGGAGTCAGTCAGTCAGTTGCAACGTAGAACTTCGTACGTATGTACATAAGTTCATGTTGCCATACCACATTATTAGCACAGAGACGCAAATGTCAAATCAAATCCCATAGTGATAAAGATGGTAGAGGTATTAATGTTATAATAAAGAAGACTAGGGTTTAAGATATTATTCAAAAAATATAATTCAGTGAGATAAGGTTAGAAAGACAAACGTAGAGGTGCTGGCTAATCCAGAAGATTAGGATTTGAGAGAGCTCAAAGAGTGGATGCACCTGCGCCATTGCAAACGATTTTGAGCCATGTCGTTCAAGGTCTCTAACCATTGATGACTTTCGTCTCGCGGACCCCAACCAGGTAGTCTACATCTACCAACATGACTCAGTCCACTTGTCAGTGACTTCATGGATTTCTGCCATGTTTTGGTCTGGCCGCCCCTAGCTTTCTTCCAACCTACTCCTACACCACAAAACATAGCTCGTCGAGGCAGTCGGTGGTTAGGCATACGTAACACATGTCCCAACCACCTCAACTGATGAAGTTTCACCACTTCATCGATTGATCTGCCATCCTTACCTAGTATTCGTTACCTAACGACAGCATT